TGGTTTTTGCGCTAGTATGCGACATGCACAATATAGAGTCAAATACACTTTTCGGGGGAAACTGACACCAACCCTTTCATGTCGGGTTTCTACTCGCTACGGTAGACGGTGGGTAGAGTGATGGCAAAAAGACGACTTCTTATTCTTCTTCTTCTATGCTTTTCTTTTTGTTTTATTATATTTTTTTTTCTTCTTCCGCCCCCTTGCCCCATGTATTCGGGGCTTTCTCGGGGTCCACGTTGACCCACATTTGGGGCAGTGTTTGACAGAGATACCGCTTTTTCCGCAGTGGTAATAAAACAGCTGCAGCACCCCGGTCTGCTCTGACTAATGGATGAAATGGTGTAGACATTGTTCTCAGCGGTCCATGTCTTCTTGTTCTTTCTGGCATATCTGGTGGATTTAAAATCTGTTGATATTGTCCAACGGTTTGAAGCGTTTGAGTCTACGATTGTCTGTGGGTTCTTCAAGCAGTTGTTTTGCTAGATTATTTGGATGGTGCGTCAAGTTGTAGGAGTGTCTGCTTGTTTGGTTTTTAATTCCTTTTTTTATTGTCAGTATTGGGAGGTCCTTCATATGCCACGGTGCATTTGTTATTATGCGTAATGTTTTCGATTGAAATCTTTCTAGTATTTCAATATTAGAGGCCGACGCTGATCCCCAGAGTTGGATACCATATGACCATATTGGTTTCAAGATACATTTATATAGTGTTATTTTGCTGTTCAGAGTTAGTTTCGAGTAAAGGCCTAGCAACCAGTACATTTTGGATAGTTGAAGTCCAAGTTGTTTCACTTTTCGCCAAATATGGTGTCTCCATGTGAGCCTCCTATCTAGGTGCATTCCCAGATATTTAATAGTATCAGCTTGTGGTGTTGTTTAATGTTACTGGAGGACATGAGGTTTTCCTCAACGTAAAGGCTACATGGACTGATTTATTCACATTGATTTTGATTCTCCACAGTTTTAGCCATCTTCTGATAGCAGTGAGGTTGTTTTGCAGTAACTTAGAGATTACTTGAGGACTTTCATGCGTAGTCAGAATCGCAATATCGTCGGAAAATGTTGCAATAAATGCATTTTCTGTTATTGGAATATCTTCTGTGTATACATACTTATATTGGTATAGTATGGGCTCAGAATAGGGTCATTTCGCCTCCTTTCTCGTACGAATTTATTTTCTTGGCAAGACTGAAGAACGTTTAATAAACTCTGCAATATCCTTGTTTATGTTAGGCCAATTATACCGTCCTCTAATTCTTTGAAAGGTCCTGTAAATATTTCAGGTATTTCGCTAATGGCTGGTTTCATTACAGTATCCAGAAATATATTAATAGTAATATTTGTTCGTTTGAAAATTTAGGGAAACAGCGTTCTACCTTCTCCCATTCAAAATGTTCCAATCGGGTACCTAAACGGAGCAAACTAAAGCTGCGTCTACACTATACATATAACAAAACATTGTTATATAACATGTTTCTATAATTTGTTACAATAACCAACTTAAACTACGTCTTTACTACATAACAAAACATGTTATATGGCAAAGTTATATAACTTGTTAGAAACGCAAGAAACAAAATGTTATATAACATAATCCGATATAACGTTTTTCGCGTTATATAGTAAGTTATATGTTACCCATCAGTTGTCGGTAAAGATCAAAGAAAGTCAGGAAACATTGTAACATTAGTATGATATCGATCAGTCCAACAGTCGGACGGTCAATAAAACATTTTATTGTCGACACCTCAGTTTAGCTGAAAACTTCCAATAAAAAGCATTTCCTATTACTACCTATTAGCATAGAATGCACTGTCTTATAATTATTGTTACTATTTTTGTTTATCGTTTACTACTGTGTTGTTTATTGTTGTTTATATATTGTTGTCTGTTTTTTGTTTAAATTATTTTATGCAAAACTTTTTAATAACACCAATCCATTAGGAGATCCTTATAGAGTTTCCCGTCCAGATCACGAAGCCGGAAGCAGAATTTCTCCATCTCCCTCAATTTTTGAAAAACATGACCTTTTGTAAAAACACCCGATTTTGGCGAAAAATGACATATTATGTAAAAACTGAAAACGCTAGAAAGTACAATTTACCCTTGAAAGATAGAGGAGAGTTTTCTGAATGCAACAGTGTATATAGTTATAAAATTGTATAATTTTTAATGGTTGTAAATTGCCGTGAATGTTTAAAAAAAAGAGTTCTTTGCCTAGCACGAATTTGCTACATAGTACCGGCTTCTGTAGACATTTCTGAATTATTTTTGACTTAAAATAATTAACAAAATAGGCATACTTAAATTATCGGAAAACCTGGATCACTACAAAAAATTCCCTCGAATGCCCTAAAAAGGAGGACTAATTCGACTTTACGCTCTGCATTGGAGTTAATTTTCCCTGGTTTATACTCTATTTTATATTGATATTCTTCTAATATCAGTTTCCAACGAATTAAACGAGATCCCGGACCCTTTAAGTTAAACAACCACGTTAAAGGTCGGTGATCGGTCATTATTTGAAAGGTCCGGCCAGAAATGTAAGTACGAAAATGTTTGACTGCCCATACAATAGCTAATAATTCACGTTCTGTAATAGAATAATTCGATTCAGCGCGATTTAAAGCAGGGACTTTTACCGAAACGTAAAAAGTATTATACCGGTATTTTCCATTGTATATTCGCCCTACAACCTTATGTAAGCCTTACCCTTATAGAAACCGAAAGAATACCGGTATTTATTTCGGTTTTGGGTAATATATCGGTTTCGGTATAGCTTTGATGGCATAATACCGGTATCAAAATCATACCGGTTTAAGTTCCTGATTTAAAGTACTACTCGCGTAAGCAATTGGTAGATCTTGTGAGCCATGTTTTTGAGACACGACAGCTCCTATTGCGAAACTACTTGCATTAGCGGTAAGAATGAACTCTTTCGTGAAGTCTGGATAATAAAGTATGGGTTCTGAGATAAGTTTAATTTTAAAAGATTCATGTTGTTGGTTACTAGTACATAAGAATGGAACTTTTTGTTTTAATGAGACTGTTAATGATTTCAATATTTGACTAAAGTTTTCAATAAATCTTCTATTGGACAGTCCCATAAGTCCTTGACATTTCCAACCAGTTTTATTTTTATTTTGTATTTATGAAAACTTAATTTCTATTCTACGGTGTAATCACCGTCGTTATTAATAACATTCAGCTATCTGCTTGGCAAATTTTGAATACAAGCGGTATTTATGTATCCAGGAACAGAGACCTTCTTATATGCAGGTGAGAAAGGACATCAATAATTATGCATACGTGGGATCGTATGACGTTCTGGTTTCCCTAACCAAATTAGTCGGACACATGCGCACGTGATCGCAAGAATACATTTAACTGACGTCAGAGATCTTTAACTTCTAATTGCTTCCCGCATCGCTTTGTGATTTACAAATCAGAAAATTATAATCGTATAGACAATTGTTTCATATTTTTCACAATGAACAAAATGTGGAATAAAATTATCCTCGTGCTGTAAAACCATGAAATAAAAAGAAACAGCAAACAAACTTTAAGTAAACGTTTTTTTTCTTCGATATTTGATTATATCATTTGCTTTTATAATCATTTATATCATTCACGTGTTAATCATTCGCATTTCTTCAAGCGCCTGTGTATCGAGAAAATATATTATGTTTGTCCAAAAAATCATTTTTAAAAGAGCCATTTCAAGTTGTAACACTTTACACAAACAATTAGTAGCACAAGTTATGCTCTTGCTTTATATAATAAAATAACTATTCATTATATAAAAATAAATATTAGTTATGTAGTTTATGTAGCATAAACACATTGGATTACTTTGAGCAAAAAAGATATAAGAAGTAATCAGTAGTTTCGTAAATAAAAAAGATAAAAAGTATTTGTTTAAAATTATGTATGCACGCCATTTTCTGTATACTATCCTTAATTTGCCTAACATTGATTAAGTAATATAAAAAATACGTAATTTAATTCAGAACCTATCTATTATATCTACTTCTATTATAATAATTGTTTACTGCTATGCAATGTAAAGAAAATACAAGTTCATTCCAAAAAAATTATTAATAAGATCACTTTAAACAAATTAGGAATAAACTATTTATAAACATTCCTATACAAAACATTGACAAATAGTACAAAAATAATATAAAAATATAATGATGAAAGAAAAGCTACAGATACTTATAAACACTATTTGTTTACAATTGTAAACTATGAAAATAGTATACTTCCATTATCAGTAGTATACTTATAATTAATAAAAATATTTATACCTTTGTTATTAATGTATAAACTTCACTACTCAATTAACAGAAAACTATCAACAATGAGACTCAACGGTAGTCACACTATCATAATTAATAAAAATGTATGTTGTAACATTAAAAAGTATTTTTAACAGCAGAATAAAGATTATGATCCACCGATAACTATTCTATTACAATTAACGAGAGGTTTTGTTACGCCCCTTAACTTACGGTAGCTGTTCTGCCGTATCGTAACTGATAAAAGTCTTATAAGCAGCACGGTCTACTGCTGGCTGTAGCGCGATAAGTAACTTTGTTTCATACACATAAAAAAGATGCAACCAAACAAACAGGTGAATAGATAAACGTTTTATTACAAGAAGAAATATACTTCTTTAATTGATATTACAATAAATCGGAAAACAATAATAAACTTAAAGATCTAAATTGTGTAGTATGTATCCTTAATAAAGTGTTCTCTAGGACATCATGGAACGGCAATGTGCATCACCATAATTAACACCTTTGCAGATAGCACGATCGACCTGTGACAACCCCACGGCAATTAATAAAAAAAACCTCAGATATATCATGACTCGCCGATGGATCATTGTATTATTATATTAGTTTCCGTTAAAAAGAAACATTACGGCCAGGTGGTGATCGAAACCGGTTTAACACACCCAATAAGAAACAAATAAAAGGGAAACATACCGGGCAAAGTTACCGCTGGTAAACTGCGACTTCTCAGTGTGAAACGGCGTACCGAACGTCATAACCGAGCAGGTAGATAATCGTTCCTGCCGCTGCTGAGAATCCTTGTTCGTTCTCTGCCGATTCTCGTTACCGGCGGAGTATTCACGGCCGCCGAATATTTCAGCTAGTCAGCTGATCGCACGATGTTTCATCGCTTCGCTCACTGTACGCATAATCGCTGGAATTTTCGTGCGAACTGCTTCTACTGTGACCCCAACTGCGGCTGTCAGGCCGTACGATGCGTCGATAGGGCTACAGACGAGTCGAAATACAGTACCACCTTCAACTGACGTCCTTTATACACTTTCTTCACTAGAACTTGTACAGACGTGTTTTTCAGTCAATTCACTTAAGACATAAATAGGTCGGCTTAAATGCCCCGCGTTCACACTTAACACCGTTTCACGATGGATATCACAGATATTTCTTGCACTTTAAAATCGTGGTTTGTTCACAGGAATCGTTTGGAAGTTTGTAAAAAATCACAGCACAAAACGAGTAATCATCAACATTAAACGTGGAAGGAATGTAATGAGACGTCGTACTGTCAAGGGTAACGGTATCGAGGCGCGGTCGATAAACACAAATCACACGCTGAAATTTAATAAAGCGACGCTCGATACCGTAGCAAGTGCAACGACCTGTCTCTCCTTCCTTTTTTGCCACACGTTCTGTCCAACACTAGATTATCTGTCGATTCGTCGTTGAATTATATGCAAGCACCTGGGGACGGAAACGCGTATGCAACGATTGTGTCAGTGTACGTAAAAAAAAAAAACAGAAATATCCGACGAAAACCGATAACGGCCGAAACGGAGCGAAAGCGGAGAACCAGCTCCCGTCGCGTTTAGCATCCGACTGGCTCCGAGGAAAGCCGGCGTACCGAACGTCACCCTTTCCACTCGAATCGTGACCCCACGCCAAGCACCCCAGACGCGCCATCGCACTGCCACAGACTGTGTGACTATTCTCAACCCTATGCAATATTATCTTGCTATCTATCTACAGTGACGGAGAAAAGTGATCATATATAGCTAGAATTGTACTGTCTGTATTAGTAATTAGTAACTATATTTATTGTTAAATAGATTTAAAATAATTGCTATATGCAATAACTTCAAACTTTACTACATAATATGGTACATGTAACTGAAAAAGAATAACAATAATAGCTATTAAGCCAATGTGCATAGTTCATATGTGATACAATACGTTCGAAAACTACATGGATAGAGCATGTCCCATAAATTTCTTCGCTTTAAGAAATCGAGTTTACGCTTGCTTGAACGATTCCACAGATAGTATAGGTCCTGAAACTGTTATAGTGAAGTCATAAAATCTCGAGCTTGGTTCAAGGCCAGACACTGCGTAACTGGCTTAGGTGGCTTCCTCGCGAGGTGTATACGTGTCTCGCATTGAGGCTGCCTCGCTTCGTTTGAACGCATATTGTTACACGATGCTCATAAGAACCACAGCACCAGTACAAAACGGACGATGTTCGAACGTCCCGCTGACGTATAAGTTAAAACATTAATTTTAATTGTATACCTTCTACACTGTTCAACAAACTCGATTTTTAGAAATAAGGTTTCCTAATTCTACATTCTCTATAGTTAATACCCAAATAGCACACGACATCTTCAAGATGTCTGTTTTATAGCTGTTTTAGGTCTGAATGTCCTAGGACCTAATAAAGATGTTTTAAAGCTGTATGAAATAGGAGATCCTAATGACGTATGAAATTCACGTCCTGGAGACATCTGCAAAATGTACCAGAAGACACGTCGTAGCGACGTCTGAAATTTGTATCCTCAGGATGTCCTCAGAACATGTGAGAGAGACGTCTTTGCGATGTCTGAAATTCATGTCCTCAGGATGTCCTCAGAACATGTGAGAGAGACGTCTTTGCGATGTCTACAGTCTCCGAGTGAACGCTTACAGTCGACCGCGTTTGCGAACAGGTGCGCGAAAATTGAGCGTACCGGTAAATCAAGCGTGCCAAAAATGATTTCTCGATTAATTTATTATTTCTAACAAAGTAAATGTTATAACAATTACCTTTCTGAGGTATATTGTTAAACATTTTACCAGCTGTCTTATAATGCAAATTGTTATTGCTTATAACAAATACAAATGGAGATATACAGAAACTTGTAAGATATGAATCGTTTTATGAACTTTCACGTGGAATAAATTTTATTTCATTGCAAATTATTAAACAATGACTGTGTTTTAATGTTTATGGCGGTTGTTAACTAAATACCATTTAATTTGAAAAATTTTCATTTCATCACAAATGATTAAACAATAATCCCGTCTTACTATTTACAAGAAATATTAAGTATTTGTTATGCTATTTAAACTTTAAACCATGTGTACCTATTGACAAATGGCCGCTGTGCCTCACTTTCGTATGCAACGACTATTGTTATGTATGTCGTCCGTCGTAGCAGTGCAGTCTAGTGTATTACATATATATACATATGTATATATATATGTAGAAGTGTTCGTTAATACAAACCAATACAAAACTGAACAATCTATTTATTTATATTCATGAGAAATATTGTAATGAAAATACCGCAGTATCTTCTATCACATACTGTAAATAGCTGTAGGGCTAGTCTAAAATTATGGATATGTATGTCTGGATTGGCAGTACAATCTAATATTAATTTTTATTACAACACTTAGAATACGTGAACTAGTGAGTATTATATCTTCAATAAACTAAAATATTTTAACTAAAATAAAATTTAATTAGATTATATATATTACCATTCATATTTAAGCTTTAAAATGCAGAGAGAGGAAAAGCAATTGGATTCTGCTTTGGAGGCTATTATTATCAGAATAAATGACTTAAAAACATCCATAGCTGCAATGATATTTAAATTGGAGCATGAATATGAAACATTAAATTGGCCTAACTTTCTTGATAATTTTGCACTTATTTCAGGACATGTAAGTTCACACAAATAATTAAAATTGCAGTTGAAATATTAATGAGTAACTTTATTTAAACAAAAATTACAGTTAACTAGTCTTTCAAAAATTTTGGGACATGATAAGGCGCCAAATTTACGAAATTTAACAGTTTTACCATTACGTTTATGTCCTGAAAAGGATGAAGAATTACTTCGATTGACAGAAGGTAGAATTTCTACATTTGCTCATGATCTGGTACCAGATTACCTGCGGACTAAAGTGGAGCCTCAAGCTGAACAAAAAATGTTACAGCTTGAAGCAAAAGCTGCAAATTTAAATTATGAGACATCACATGTAAGATGCATTTATTATTTATTTCCTATGTATATACAAAAATCATGTACAAAGTAGTTTTTACAAATTTCTTTCCCTTTCGATAATAATATAATTAGACATAAAAATTTAATTAAATATCTTAAAATGTAGACTTAAAACACAGATACAATTATATATCTGTATTATCTTATTGTAAAAGCTTAAGGATAACTTAAGATGTTTTATTTCTCTGTTAATGTGCTAACTATACAACAACTAGGACTGCAATGTAAGCTACTATCAGCTAGCTTTCAGCTTTTATTAGTTCCATTCGCTTTGGACTGAAATTGAAATAAATAATTTGACATTTCATATAGGATAGTTTTGATATTTTAAGGATATTTCATAAATATGTGTTCTATAAGTTAGAGTTGTACATTTAGAAAATGTACATTTTGTTGTAAAACAGCATTTTTAATAAATAAGAATATAATTTTTCATACTATTATAAGTTAAAAAATGTATTTCTAATTACATAAATAGTTTTAAATTAATTGAAAATTGTTAGAGGAAATGACTGTTAAATGTTGTATGTATATTTGATACTTATTTTAAAGAAATAAAAAACTAAAACCATAAGCAATTACACATATTCATACTATGAATAATTTCTTCTAATAGTTTAAAGCATTTCATGGGTAAAACTCTATAATCGGTCCATTTAGCGAGTGGAACACATAATACGTTCTGTATTGCCTATAGTACAAATGAATTGTATACTTTTCAGAAACAAGTGGCACAGTACACAAAAGTTATTAGTCATATATGGGATATAGCAAACAAAGCACGTGAAGAATGGGAAAGTGAAGCTGGATCTAGAGCAACTCAAGCTCAGACTAGTAGCACAGCAGATACCCATGCTCTTGTAACAGCTGTAGGTATGGGTAAAGGTTTGAAGGTAAATCTCTTGTGTATATTTGTTTGTGTACTTATTGATTACCCTTTGAATCTTTCATAATATATCTGTTTTTTTATTATAGTCTGATTCTGTCCAAATGGTTCAGTCTGGTGTTAATTCTGTTCCTAGTGGAATGATGGTAGGTAGACCAGGAAATCAACAACAAACTTCAGGACAAGGAGCTCTAGGAAATCCACCTAGTAAGTTATAGATAATCCTATTTACTTTATGCATATAATATCCTGTAATTAATTGGAATTTACATTTATTGCACTAATTAAAAATGAATTATTTACAGTGGGACAAATGAGTAAAGCTCCAAGTGCAATTAAAACTAACATTAAAGCAGCATCACAAATTCATCCATATAGATAAGGTATACAATTGCATCTGTTCAAAAAAATATTTATTTTACTAGAGTATTCTTAAGTTCATAAAAAGTTCTGTGATTTAACTTGTTATGCCTATAAGATATTGGAAGGTTTTACACAAAATTTTAATGAATATTTACAGCTAAATTACAAGTTTTATTTTAAATTGTATCCAAGAATGTCTAAATATGGACCATTTTTCATAAAGAAGAAAATGTTTCAAATTGGAAGTAACAGAGTCTGTCATACACAATAATATAATGTGTACAGCTGAGAATACACTTTATATACTCTGTGGAAGAAGTTAGGAAAAGTGCTATGTACCAACCAAGAATTTCACTTTAGAGAGATTGGATGAACAGTGTTATTATTTGTATAAATTACGTAAAGCAACAGATATTAAGTCATCAGTAAGTGGCTGATGGAGGTGTAATGGTGCGAGTTCAAAATGGGTACTGTAGGTAGACTGAAATCAAGTTTGTAAAAGCAAAAATGAACAATAAAAATTATATTAAAGTAATGAAAAAAGCAAGTAATAAAATGTATAACGAAAATAGCGAGTGAGAACTTTATTTTTCAGTAGAACAGTGCAGGTACCCGTACAACAAGTGTGAAAGTACTTTCAATGGCAAAATATAAATATTTTAAAATAGAAGAATCACTTTATTTGAATATAATAAAAAATTCTTGCATAGAAATGACAAGATCTGTATATGCGAAAAAGAAGACAGTTTTATATAATTGGAATATTAAAAAGGTGCATTTTATCAAACATTTAATAAAACCCATACAAGGGGTTTAATGAACGGCGGTACAAGCTAAAATGTGATGATTTGAAAAGAAAAAATAAGTTGGAAATGTAGAACATCTTTTTATAATTCAGATTGTGGCCGAGTACCAGTGCATGGCATGTAAATATTTCAAACTAAATTAATTAAAGTCGAATATTATTAAATAAACTGTCCTACTATTATAATAATTATATCAAAAGTATTTACTGCTCTTATTAAATAGTATACACATTGAAGGTCTAGTAAAAGAAGAAGTAATTATTCTTATCACTGCATGTAAATGCATTATTTTACAATATTTATTATCTTTTGCAACATACAATTGCATGTGATCGAGGAGACAATTGTTTGTTCGTAACTGGGATAATCGTTGCTTCGAAACCCTCTTCATGCATCCAACATAATCTATCTTGAAGTACAAGGGATTCTGCCGACGCTTGTAATATTAATTGTAGGGCAGTATAAAGTTCTACTACCTTTAGTTTATCACAGTATATTTTCCATAGCTTTATTATATTTTTCTCATGCTCGTCAACATTGACTTGTATACCTACAAAGTTTCACTTTAATATTATGTATTTACAATTGCATATAGTAAATGTTTAATATCATAAATACTAAAAAAATGTGCATAATATCTGGGATATACATAGAATTACATTATGATCTGGTTGTGCATACATTACCTTGTTCTTTGATATTTTTCTCTTCTTGTGGTTGCAAAATGTATCTATTTAATGAGTCTTTAATATAAGTTTCAAAGTTTAAACACTGCGATTTTCTTGTTCCTTTCTGAGTACGTTTTGTAAGAGAAAAACCATCTTAAAAGATTTTTTATTTCGTAAATAAATATTAAATAATTATAGAATTAAATAATTTACAAGTAACGATGCAGATACATACTTTGAGTTGCATATAATTGAAGAAGTGCTCTTGCAAGGACATAGAAAGAATGTTTATTGTGACTTTCAATGGACATATTATTCCATCGTTCTGCTGGTTCTTGGCATGCTAGTCGTAAAAACGGCTGTCTTAAAAAAGAACCAACATCAAAATTATTGTGCACAATTACACTGTTGAAACAGTTAGATAAGGGAAAATTATTAAAATATTGCTTTTCAGTCGATGCATTTATTTTTATGCTTTTTGATATTGAAAGTTTATGATAGCAGCAAGAAATCATAACAAAAATCCGAGCTGCTTGCATATCACGAAATATTTTTGATGCATGTATACTAAGATCTCCACAAGCATGTAAACCAATTAAACAAACATCTGAATTTTCTTGAAATTCGTCGCGTAAAATTGTTTCTATCGTCTCAACAGAATTATATGTTAAATCGCAACAATTGTATTTTACATGTGTTAATGAATCAGGATACAATTTTGATTGTCTGGTTCTGGCATTATTTACATTCGCATGATTTTTTTCTAATCCAAGAACTCGATAGCCATACAAATGATATAGTAATTGACAAACATATCCCTGCAATAAATAGATGTTGTACAAAAGGTAAGAAAACATGATTATTTCACACCTAATTTATTTTATATGTATACATGTATCTTACCAAACCAGCGCCAAAATCGACAATAATTTTAATGTTACGTGGTGCACATTGCATGTGCACCAAGTTTGCTAATTGTGATATTTCGTGTTGCTTTTTGTCATTAAGTCCTATTTGAAATTTTTTTGGTAGTTTTGTTAGTAATATGGTATTTAAGTTTGGTAATCGATCAGTATGTCTGCATTTTTCAAGAAATGCCTTCAAGCTCTTTGGCCATTGTGACTAAAAAATGAAATGCCTTGCACATTGCTAAAAGAAGTTATTGTTACAAGCAAGTTTTACTTATCTACCAACATTCGTCTTTTTTGTCACAACAAAGTCATTGAGTTCTTGATTTTCTAACGTCTGTAACACGTTTAACCACTCCTTCGGAAATAAATCAAGTAATCCTTTTGTTAATAAATCCGTAACCGGTGTATTATATAGCCATTGAGTTTCAAAAAATAAATTCAACACATCCAAGAAATATTTGTGTTCTGTACATTCACCTACATGCGCCATCTAATATTTAAAAAAGATTTTGCAATTAATGGTAGGCGGAATTTTGATGCATATATCTATGTACATGAAGTGTATATGTACAATTTGAAACATTTTAACTTCTGTTTATAAATTTTATTGTATGAAAATTACATATATATTGTAGCAGATAAAGAAGTCAGGTAATAAGGGTGTTGAACCAAGAATCGAACCTATAAGATCTATTGCTTACTGGATGACTGCTTTGACCTCTAAGTTATTCGAGCCCTCGATTATTCTTTTCCTCATTCATATAATGTAAACATAGAATGACCGGCGCATTTTACTGCTTACAATAATATTTACACACGTTTCTTAATTTTTATAATAACATTAACTTACAACATAGTTATATATATATATATAATAATTTAACTGTACTAAATAATTTCATCAAATTTTGCACTTCGACAGACAGTTCATTCGACCGCTCTTGCTTGAGCATCTTCTTCTTGATTTTGAATTACCCAGTTTTCCGAGTGCCTACTTAATAAATCCCGATTAACTGGTCCAATCAATGCACGTCCCACTCTAATGTCTTTTTGACCAGGTTCTAAATATTTTTTGGCAACATACACAAGTTGATCTTTAGTTACAGCTTTCAATTGTTGTCTGTATTCTTGAATATCATTGTCCGTGATACCATGCGTAAATTTAATCATACCACGATTACTTGGAGGTGTTGGAGCATCGATACGTTGGAATACTCCTAATTTTGCTTCGTCAATATCACTTTGAGAGAACGAATAATTTAACAAAAAGTCATACGCTTTATCAAATAAATCTAAAGTACGAGTGGAATTAGGATCTCTATAAGAGTAAAATGTAAAGACTCCATCTGACGATAATTTTGCACCACCGCCATAAGCTCCACCTTTTTCACGAATTTCAGGGTGTAAATAAACTGATGTGATCAGTTTAGAAAGTATTTGTAAAGGTGCAAAATTAGTATGGGTATATGGTACAGTAAAAACTGCTTTTGCTACATAATTTACTGTATATGGTAATACATAGTGGATAGCACTGTTTTCCATTTCAATATCTTCATTATTTGTATAGATATATACGTTCTCAGGTGTACCCTTCAATGCTTTATAGAAATCGGCAATACTATTTAATGTGTTATCTTTACTATTTTCAGATAAATTGATTGCTGATCGTAGGTATTGTTTACTCAAAACATGTTCAGATATTACTTGCATTTTATGAAATATGGAGCTTAAATCTTGCATTTGCGCGATTTTTTTCATTCTATTGACAAACTGCAGTCCTGATAAAGTTTCCTTAAACTTGGTAACTGGTGAGACTAAACTGGCTGCACTACTCATTGCATATATGTGTCCTGAGTCTGCAATTCCATTAATTAAATCTGCTGCATTTGTTTTGACCAGTGTTTCAAATCTTTGAATATCAGATAATTTTACATTATTGAACACTTCTAACCACAATTTCCACATATCGTTTACATTGCGATCTAAACAATACGATTCTATCAGTATTCCTTCTTCATATTGCAATAAATTATTTTTATGTTCTACAACATGAGACATAAAACTTAAACCTCCAGTTTTTAACCTTATCATTTGATCAAAATTTCTGTAGTCGTAATTTTTTGTACCCATTTTTGTAATAATATTATTAAAGAGTGGTAACAAATTTTTTAATTCATCATTTAGCCCTTGCGTATTGAGAATTCCTCTGTAATAACAAACATTATTTGTTGGTTCAACAGCTACCTGTAGCGGAATATCAGCTACCTTTGTTTCTATACAGTTACACCGGTCAACATCTGTTTTTATATCTTCAATTTTTAATGTAGGTAGAACATTCACATCTTCTTTTTTCTGTTGCTCTTGCAATAATATATGTCCATCAACATAAATTTGTTCCAACTCATCCTTGGAAAGTTGTGTCAATTTTGATTCTAACAATTTACGTTCAGCAATCATTGTGTTATAATCGTATTGTTCAGATGGCGACATTGTTACGGTTAATTTGTGAGTATTTTCCATTAAGTATGTTTTAACTAATTTTTGTAGGTATTTGGGATTTTTTCTCATTTCTTCTCTAAACTTTCTAATTGCTTCATTGATTCTCATTGCTTGTATTAGATTTCCATCGTGATTCCATAGTGGTGTTAAATTGAAAAGTAATTGCAAACCAAAATTAGATGTCTGATGTTTTATGTGAAGTTCAATGCTATGTAAAACCGCTTCAATTTGATCTGTTTTAAAACCATTTTCAATAATTGATTGCACAGTTTCATCAAAGATACGTTCTATCTTTTCAAAATGTTCTTCCTTAACACCAAGTAAACTTAAAACAAACATTGTATCTTTACAGTGAGCATCGTAACCTGTCATTGGACCAAAAGCAACTCCTAAATCTGATTCCACTAAAGATTTATAAAATGCTGAGTTTGGTCCTCTTAAAAGAAGTTGAGCTAAGACTTGCATTTCAAATGTTTTTTGTATCTCATTTATATCATTACACAAATATCCTATAGCTATTGTACCTTGTCGATTAGAATTTGCAACCATAGGATCTGGTCTGCACAAAATGTGTTCTTTCCTTGGTTTATTCCAACGTGTTTCTGAAGGAACTACTGACATAGATGTATCAATTTTATCTACTAAAAATAAATAACGATCATTAATGAATTTTATGTGATCTTTTAAAGGGAAATTGCCATAAGAATAGAATCGACTATTTGAAGGATGATAATATGTTCGATGAAAATTGACCAAATCAATGTGTTTCAGATTAGGAATAACAAGAGGGTCTCCTCCAGAAATTACTGAATACGTATGACTGGGTAAAATGCTATTCAGTAAGCGCTCAGCTAATATAGCCTGATTTTCATTGAAAACACCTTTCATCTCATTAAAAACTACTCCTTTGAAAATTATTGGTGAATTTTTATTATTAACATCTTCATGTTCCAATCTCCAACCTTCTTGTTTAAAATCAAGTTCTCGTAGATTTGGTTTAAACACTGAATCCAAATATACTGATTGCAAATTTTGATAATCTTTTAAGTTTTGTGTAGAAAATGGATATATAGTATAATCAGGTCCTGTCATTGCATTCATAAAGGTAGCTAGTGACCTTCTCAGCATTCTAAAGAATGGATCTCTGCATGGATATCTCTCACTACCACAAAGAGTAATGTGCTCCAAGATATGAGGTAAACCCGTAGAATCTTTTGGAGTTGTACGAAATCCAACAGAAAATACATTGTTATTATCATCTCTAGCTAAATGCAAATACTGAGCTCCACAGCCCAAATGAGTTAATCGCACTGCTGTCAATTGTATTTCATCTACTTTTCCAACTTCATCCACTATGAAGCCATTAATAACTTGTCCCTTTTGAAATTGATCAAATTCATGAGATATGGAATTTATTTTATAATTTCCAAATCCAACTGTTATATTTCTTTGAGAACTGAGATTGTACGGTTTCAAAAAACGCTGTAGTCCAAGTGGGTGCGAATAAAATTTCTGAGATAAATTTGATATCCTCAACATAGTGTAGTGTTGGAGTATCTGCAAAAGACCAAAAATAAATAACTTAATTGCACTATACCACAGATTTAATGTCAATGAATCTAAGATTTTTAAAAACAGTGTATTATCTTATGCTAATCCAATGTATCACTTACCAAAGCAAAATGTTGAATGTGTAGGTAATAGTTTATTTTATATATATCACAGACTAAACACTTGTAAATTATTCACTTTTTTACATTCAAAACAAGATTCTAGTTTATATCTTCAATACAATAAACATAGTAACACATTCATTAATATCTGTTACTTAATAATATGTTTACCGAAGTCCACTAAGCTATTGATTCATTTGTTTAATGAATGCATTAATGCATGAAAATTTGTGACAAGAAGTGTAATATTTGCTAAAGATTTTTAGTTTATACTCCTTTGTAAGTAAAGATATTGAAAAAATATGAGGATCAACTTCGTTGTAATGAAAGAAACGATGTTTTTTTTTGAAGGTCATTCAAAATTATTGAAAGTTTACTATAAAGGAAAATATTAGAGTAACATGTATAATGTTGTTGCAAATGTTTTAAATATTAACTTTGCACATTGCTGTCTTTGTATCTTGATCTCTAAAGAAAATGCACACTTGTAAAAGGAACTTTATCAGCTATTGCTGCATTTACTTCAATTTAAATTATCTTATATTAAGAATTACATATGCATTGTTAGTTGCTTAATTGGGTTCCCATTAATTACATTAATTTACAAAATCACACTTTATTTACTGTTCAAAAACGTGAATAATTAAAGCAAATTTTGAAACTATCTTTAGATTCTATAATATATACATATAGTGATTACAAGTGTAGAATTTTAAAACAATGTACCAATGTTCATAGAAAAAACACAAAAATATTTAATTTATTCATATGATCCCTTGTATTTGAATTTAATTATTAATAATGCAAAACATTTGAGACTATTTAAAATAATATTTACATAATCTAAATGTGTATGTTATAATTTGCTTCTCTCTGGATGCTTGAATTTTAAAATAATTACATAAATAAATACCTGTTACAGTACTGTTTGAGAGTATCAAAACGTTTGGACGGTGTGATCCTAATTGAAGGGGTTATCAATCTTGAATCGAATACATTTTAAACTAATTTATTAAAAGAATAAAAATAATATGGCTTCACTTAACAAACGAAGCTAATTTATTCAGACATTTTCTATACCTTTACTAATAAAACGAAACTTCAGATATATTATATTTAAAAAATACCCTACATACTATACAAGACAAAATTGAAAGTTTTAATAAAATAATAGTTGATTCTCAATATTACACCCTTATTCATATATTAAAAGAATGATAAATCAAGTAAAGTAATATAAAATAATTTGAAAGTATGTATTTATTCATATGGGTACCGATTAAAATAATTAACCTCCAATCTTTATTTCAATTTACTAAACCTTTCTTTTCCTAAGTTTTATTCAGTACGTAAATTTTTAGTTATTAAATGAGAATAACAATATATTCTTTAGATACTTTAGAATTAACTTTAAAAAATATTTGTGTACTATATACATACCTATAAATGTTTATTTGTTATACTTCAGTCACGTTATAAAATAACAACACGAATAGAAATTATTTAAAGAATGCTATTATCAATATGAAACATTGATAGATCAGTGTCACAGATACTATAGTTCATGAACAATTCTGAACGTTATTATTTCAAACAGAAAACTTTAAATTACAGTAATAATGAAATTTGTACATATGCTTTGTATTTAACATGCACCAATATTGACAGAAAATTTTTTGCAATTATAATAAGATGTTCTTTTTTCTTGGTCGATACAACGTAGACATCAAGTAATCATGCTACTTTACAAATTTTCAAAATTGCATTCACTATTTGAATTAATAATTGTGGAGATTCATCGTATATATTGGATATCATCACCGCATAGACATATATAATAGACTGCGCGGTCTTATGGTAGGGATGAAGTCGGCACCGGAAGGAGAGGATAATAACTGGAGTAACTTTCCTCTTTTTAATGGGGCTGGATGGGGGATTCTCCTACGGGTAGTGGAGGCATTACATGCGTGGATGCGTGCAGCATTCCTTCTCCTCAACCCCCTTCTGCGATGTGCGAGCAAGAGAGAACTTACTCCAGCGCACTTCTGTCTCGCTTCATCCCTACTATAAGACCGCGCAGTCTATTATATATGCTATGTTTCGTACCCACCATTGGTCTCCTATTATTTGATCTCGGGAGTTACTGAATTTATGTCGAATTAACATTCGATTTAACATTTATTTCAGTACTTGAAATAAATTTACTAAGTGGTAGGAGACTTTTCCTGTACTCCACTTTTCCCCCTAGCGGAAGCCAAGTTTACTCGAGAGAGTATAATAAAAAACATTGTAGGGACTTTAATATATTTAACAGCAAAATTAAACAGTGGCGTAAAGTTCAGTATTTAATTGTGTTTACACAGGTCTTTAATTGCAAATTCTACTTGTGGTTAAGATAGATAGAAGTATATAGCCAATGATCGTTGATTTTTTTTAGGAAACGCGGTTTTGATGAAAACGCGTCCACGACACGTCAGAGAAAGTGATACGAACTACGAAGCGATGCATCCATAAGACGAAGCGCAAGATCTATGACGATCGAAGAACGCGCACTTCTGAGATTTTTGTGACCAGTAGACCGTTCACTGATCCAGAGATTTAAATTAGTCATGAACCGCGCATAAGTGCATTCCGCTAAAATAAAGAAGAGGTAAAGCGTTGCGCGCGAAATCGGTATGACGGATTTGCGGTTATTCTTCTATTGTATGCGGTTCGGCAACTCGTCGGTTCGCGCGAGTGGAGGGTCTCGAATGGCGGTCACGTATAATCGCCGGGAGTGCAATGCTAACAAGTAGTCCAGCTGACTGTGACAAAATGATAGGGTACTCGCGTCCTACGGGAGGTAATACATTTTTATACACATAAATTAAACGCCTCCGGTAACGGAGTACGATGAGTACTGATAACCATGACCAAACGGAGCCCTGCGTCAGCAAACCATCCGTGAGAATCGAATTTAATGCCGACGAGAAAGCATTTGACGGCAGGCGAATCAAAAAGGAACGAAATGACGTTACTGTTGAGAATGGTGATGGCAGCATCAACATTTGCATTAGCGATAACAACAAGCAAGTGCAGTCGAGCCAGCGCCCGGCTGCCGGTAGACTTTCGAACGGCTTCCACGACGGTGACCCACTTCAAAACATCATCGCGGCCAAGTTCACGGCCCTGACAAACCATGCCACGACTGCCAAACACGAAAAAATTCGGTTTATGCTTGAAGACAGTATCGGGTAAGCTTAAAGCCCTGTCTTTCTCTCTCCCTCTCTCTCGCTATTTTTCCTCTCCCCTTCTTTTCCTGCGCTCGCGTGCGCACTAGTTTTGAAAACAAAATGCAACTCTTGATTGGCTACTATAATAAGAATTTAGAATGATTTACGCTTTTTTGAGTTACACATTTTTCAAACATACTCATGAAATAATAAGGTGAAATACGAAGTAGTATTTTTACTAAGAGACTAATTGTAACTGACTTACAATTGAAATGCTTTCTGTACTCTTGACTGAGCTCCTTTTTGACTACTCTTGTCGAGTTCTTTTCAATTTTCAAATTTCTATCACAAAGTTTGTTCTGCGCCATAGAACATGCTTTCATTAACTTCCAATGGATTTAACGATTTTAGTATAATGCTTCCACCAAAAGTACCTATGCTTTCAATACTTTTGGTTAGAATCAATTTTTGCTAACTTGTTCATATAATTACTCTGGAATTATCACTTAAACGGACTTGAAATTGTTAGAGTATATTTGGAATGTACTTTTCTATTTTTTTATTTTAAAAATTTCCTATCTTATAATGTTCTTTGAAAAAGTATCCTTTAAAATTTGGCAATTGTTTGCCAACGTTTTATTTTTCTTTTTAAAGATTATTATATGTAAAAAATGTTTATGTGCAAAGCCACATTTCTTGTATATTTTCTGAAAATTTCAGTTTTATTTATTTTTGACCATCAGAACTTAAGAAACTTTGTACGTAGCATCAGATTATAACATTAATAACTTCTATGTAGATATATAGTTTTCATTTCATTTACTTAGAGAAGACTCTTCAAAACATATATGTTTAATATGTCAGTAACAATGCATCACCAAAAAATTCCTAAATACAGTTACTTTTTAATAAGAACATAGTACAATGTATTGCACGTCTTGTTTTTCCTATAAAAGAATTTATTTCTTTCTGAAAACACAAGTTAAAATGAATGCAAATGCAATACAAGTACTGTTTTAATAAGTAATAAATAAACTTATAGCATTTTAGTAAATATAGAATCATACAAATGTAACGCTGTTATTTCTGTTTTTAACTTGTTTTTAATTTTAATTTTCATGTCTGACATAGCATTTAATGATACTTCATACATACAGTTGGTAACAGAAGTTTATGGATAATAATGTATTTAAAAATTCAGTATGCAAAAATGATTTAATTCATTATAATAAACTGAAAAAATTTGTTAGTTTTACTAGACATTTACTTTGGGAACACATGAAAATTTAAAAGGTAAAATGAGATATATTAAATATATGGAGAATTTATTAAAACAACTACAGTTTAAACACATGTATTACACATTATAGAAGTTACCAAAAAATATAGAAGGTGTTCCTTTATGAACTGTATTTGTTCCTTCATTAAATAATATATTTATAAGTGTTCTATGACTTACAGACATTATGGTTTTTTTTACTTTAAGATCCACATACCTATAAATCTATGAAATCTCATAAAAATCAACATTGTATGCTTTGTAAATTTTACTTAAAAATTTCTTATTTTGTAAAACATTTTCCCTTTAAGAGTCCCACAAAAATATGATTTCATAACACGTCAATAAAAAACGAATTCTTTAAAGTTATGAAATTTAAATTGTTAAAGACATTAAAAATGTTATAGTTTAATTTGTTATACTGAAAGGTTTTCATAGGGGGTCATCATTATGGGTTAACAAATTTATACTTTTGGAAAAAGTTAATGTAATTTTAGTTATAAATAGGCGTCTTAAGTATCTTATTGGGTTCAGAATAAAATAAAGAACTTGTTGCATATGATGACATTTTTGTACTTTATTATATTTCACAGAGCCCTATAGGCTATAAATGCATAGAAATTCCCAGTATATCTATCATCACATTAATTGATTTCCAAGTTGTAACCCTAATAACCTGTGGTATAGAAGATCATTCTAATCCTCCTTTCTAACAATGAATTTCTAAAACAGGAAGGTTGAAATTAAAGTAATAATAAAGATTTAACAGTTCTTCATTTGTTTATTTATATCAAAATTTATTATTTCAGTCTGTAATTGAAATTACTTTAAAATAATTTTAAATATTAATAGCATATTTGCAATAACCTTCTGCAACGTAGATGTTTAAATTTTGTTTGATTTTCCAACAATCAAACTAAAGAAATACTAAGGATAATGGAAAAAGACAATGAAAATAGCATTACGTTAAAAAAATTCATACATTCTATGTATATAAATGCTTGATAACAAAAAATGTCACAGTAAGTATTCAAACTATATTTTTACTAAATCGAAAGAAGGTTTTGAAGGTATTGACAATATTGTTATTCTTAAACTGAACAAATGTGTTTCAAAAATATAAATGCAACTATATAATTTTTTAATACTTTCCAACATGTAAAAGAAAATAAATTTTAATAACCATTTACAGAATTTTTTAAAATGAAAGTAGTGTGTGGTAGTGTACATTAAAATTAAATGAAATCCAAAGGAATAGGAAGTCTAATAAGATTTTTTAGGTAGACTCATTAAGGTTATTTAAAGATATCTTAAATTTTTTAAATAGCGTCATGCTTGTAAACCTGTAATTACTATTTGTAATTTATTTTTTACAAATGCAGGAAGTATAAGTATTTAGGATGATAATTGGAAGCATAATGCTGTTAAAAGAAAATCAAGGTAATCTTCATTTGATCTTGATTTTCTCGCATAAAACCAATATATTTGAACCAAATAATCTTCATCGAATAGAATTTTATACCTTATTTAGTTTTAGACATATTTTGCTGTAACAAATTTAGCTTTACATCCTGCGTACGTTCAAAGTTTTTTGGAAGTATAAATTATTGAGTTTCCTTAAATTATAAAAACAACACAATTTGTGAAGATTATTGTATTTAATTAACGTTTTACAAAGTATTGTATATAAGAATAAGCATATTGTTAACCATGTTTGAAATATCATTTATATTAACTTTGTATTTCGTTTTCTATATAGCGAAGAATCGAAAACTCGCATTCAGAATATCTTTTCACAAATTGAACAACTCAAAGTAGAAGAAAAATTATTACTGTACCTGAAACTTCCATTATCATTGACCAATACTGGGGGAACTATTGATCCTTTGAGACAACCGTTAAATCCATTAGGAAATCGCTATGAAATTCACCAAACAATCATGTGGATTAAGACACATTTAGAGGAAGATCCCGATGTCTCTTTACCAAAGCAAGAAGTTTATGATGAATACAAGTATGTGTTTTAAATCTTATACATTTGGACATACATATAATTCCATAAGAAACTAATTTTTCACTACAATACAATATTTTATTTTTTTTTGTTCTCTGAATTTATTCACAGTATGTACTGCATGCGAAATTCTATGAAGCCCTTATCGACTGCTGATTTTGGAAAAGTAATGAAGCAAGTGTATCCTCGAGTTCGACCACGTAGACTAGGCACACGAGGCAATTCGCGTTACTGTTATGCTGGAATGCGCAAAAGAGTTAAACTGGATTCTCCAACATTGCCTAATATAACTGGAACTCAAACTGTAAGGCTTAAAATTATATTTAAAATATTATAAATATTTTCTGTAATTTGAGATTAAAAAGTTAACAAACTAAATTAAAAATTTCATAAACTTTATAAATATGAAAAATACTGTTATAATACATATTTATGCATGTTAAGAAAAATTTATTCAGAATCAAATACAGATAGATATTTTATACTTTAAATTTAGTTCTTTTAGGTGTATAAAATATTTTGAAGGTAAACATTCAAACTTTTAGGGCGATGATTTAGATGAGAACATTACAGAAGAAATGTTGGGAGCTACATCTACATTAATCAGAGAATGGGCAGAAAATTTGTTGGGCTTGAAATTTCCATCTCTGAGTGCCTTAGCACGTCATCTTGTTGATAATCTTTGCGTTGACACACGATCTTTGGCTGCTGTATGTATATTATGTGCTTCAGGAGATTCTAATACATCAACAAATAAAGGTTGCTAATAATTTGGTACTCTTTCGGAATCGTTATAGTAAACTAGTCTAAAAGTTAAATTGTTTGTTTAGAATCCTCTATGGATTTACATGAAACTCCTTTGACTACAAAACCTGGAAAACTTCGAGAAGCACAGTTACAGTTGCAACGGAAATTACAGCAGCGAGAGCAAATAAGACATCAAAAACATGATCATTTCGATGCTGTTATCCAGGTACAAAATATTTTAAGAAAATAGCAAATTGTAAGTAAAAGATAACGTGCATGAAAAGATTTTGTGAAATGTTTTTTAAGTGATTATTCCTTTATACAGTATGTCGGTTTAAATCAAGACGAATTCAACGACATATTTGAAAGTTCTGTTTGAATAATAATAATTTCCTAAATAATTGTATAAATATTGATGGCAGTTTCACTGTTTCTTGACTCGCAGATCACACGTGATGGGTACGAGACACCAACCGAACTTGACATTTTGCCACCAATTCATACAGTTATCTGAGAAATTATTATTCAAATAGGGCATGAACATGGACATACTATATACGACACAATGACAAATGAAATGTAATTAAACGTGATACTGCGACAGTTATCTTAATGATATTTCCCAAAGTCATTTACAATTTATGTAGTAAAAGAACATAGAAAACTAATAAAAGAAATCAGTAAATTGGAAAAATATTATGTTTCTAAAATTTTCTATAAATTTTTACACTATAGAAATTATTTAAGGAGCGTTTTGTGTTAATTTGAAACTATACAATATTTTACAAATATTTCAGAATCAGAACAAAGAGAAGACTGTTGATAATAAATGTGGCGGAAATAAAGGTAATAAGAAAATCAAGTCCACCCAGTCATCTCAAGGTACAAATATATCGGGTGGACATAACACATCAACCAAGTTCAATTTATCTGCCGTAGTAACTAATCGGCAGAGAAGGGTTCTTAAAACTAATAGTCAGCCATGTAACATCTCCCTGGAATCCAACTGTGATAATGTAGTGGTACAATCAATTGAAGACATACAGAATAATAGCAACTCTAGTGTAGTGATGACCAACTGCGTAAATACACAGCGAGATGTCAAACCCAAAAATTCCAGAAAGCGTGCCAATCCAATTATACTGAGTCAACCGTCAGATACCAGCCCTGAGAAACAAACGAAACTTACAGAACAGCAAACGCAGCAGAATGTAGAGCATTCCAATATGTTGTTGCCTAAGCTTACATCTATACGACATCAGGATGAAAAAATATCGGTGATACTTGCTGGTAATCTAAAGCCTACCAAGTGTAATGTCAGTGAGGTTGTTAGTAACCAGCCTATTAAAAACTGTGATATTGAACTGTCAGCATGTTCGAAAAGTGGTGTTAAAGTGAATGGTCGCCCTAACAGTTTCGATCCTAGTTCAAACACAATCGAGGAATCTACAGGTTTAACTAAAGATCAGATTCGATTATTGCAAGAAAATTCCAATCTCCTAAGTAAAACTGAAAAACTTCGTTCTGTTAACTCAGACACTTTGGATGATTATTTAAACGGAGGTAACAATTCACAAGAGCAAGAGGAGGAATTACTACAGTATTTTCAACAAAGTAGCTCGTCGAGTTCAGATGTGGAAGCTAATACTTTAACTACTGATGAACAAATATCAAGATCTGATAAAGTTTCACAACTCAGACTAATATTACAACAGAATTTGAAATCTGGAATTGTGCATGCACCTCTGGATGCACTGCCTTCTGCTATTATCAGGCAAAACGTTGAAAAACGTGAAAATACGCAGAAACACAATTTAATACTACCAACATTGCTAAATCATTCGAATCAAAGTAATACTAGGCGGAGAGTGAGTTTTGAAACAAACGTTGTGGAACATGTACAAGATTCAAATGTCATTATGAACACAGTTCCGCAAAGTCCAAATACACGTCGTAGAATATTCAATTTTACACCAATATCACCAGGTCCACATTCACCCATTAATGGTCGAACATCCAAATCGAATTCCGCAAACGCTAGTCCATTTGTTTCGCCGCGAAATACGCCCGTACCACGTTCGAGAAGTAATTTACAAGCAAGTAGTTCCAGGGCACGCGCTCATAAATCTTTATCACGTTCAGTATCTTGCAGCATGCCTTATACTAGTAAAAATGACACTTTCGTCGTTCCTACGAGTGGTCCAGAATTAGTTAGACAAACATCTACGCCGCAAATGCCATTAATTTCTACAAAATCGTCAGAAGTACAGGTTGGCGGCAGCACAACGCAAATTTCTGTTACATCCAAGAGAGAAGGACAAGGATCGCAATGTGCCGCATTCTTATCTTCTGATCTAGCACCACAAAAACAATTGCTTATAAACTATCCGAGTCAAGAAAATTTGCAAGAAATTAAAAATGTGTACCAAAAATGTCAACCCGATCAGGAAATTAGTGAACTATTTCATGCCAATAAACAATTTACTAATGAACTTTACAGATCACAATCAGTTCCGTTACATAGAATGGTTAATCCTACATTAATGTCACCAATTTCAACGCAACATTGCTTATCAACGTTTCAGAGTCAGAGTTTCAATCCATCTACAAATAGCTCTATAGCGCCTACACCAGTACCTAGTGAATTTAATGACTTTGGGTCAATCGGTCCATCAGAAGGAACTTCAACATATTTGCTTGACGACGTGGATCCAAATTTCATGTCGGATGACCAACATTTCTTGATGAGTGATAAAGAAATAACACCTGAAAACATAACCAACATATTAAATATTTTGGACGAGGAAGGAGCACAGAGCTTACAAATTCTACCAGAGCAATCTGCCGAAGAAAGCTTAATAGAAAATAACGGAATCGTGCTGGATAGTTTACCGAATTCAAACTTAAATTTGTCGGAAGAAGATGTATTGGATCCATCGAATGTACATGATATTCCAGTAGATGGAGCCTTGCAGAAAATAATACAATCACGCTCGTATCCTAATACACCCTTACCTGTGCCAGTATCAACATATACACCATCTTACACAGAGGATAGTAATGGATCAAGATCATATCCCTCAACGCCGCTGCATATAGTCCCATCGCAAGAAATTTACCAAGAGGCCAACGAACCCATGCTTTCCAGTCCTACCTTAAACTCTTTAAACTTACATAACGAAACAGTGAACGAATCTGCTTCCGGCAGTTTGTGTAGAAATGTTGTGGATCTGCTCGAAGCGAATTTTCTTGGAGAAACAGATACAGAAACAAATGATTTGGATCCGCTTGGTAATTTCGATGGATTACAAGATGTTGATTCATTAACACCTTTGTTTAATGAAGTGACAGAGCCTAATCGTTGAAAGCATACACAGAAGTAATTCATGGATTTTGAGAATTTTGTATAGTGATCTACCAAAGGTTGGAAAAATAATTCTTAAGTTGTGTGTTTGTAGGACTTCATTAAAGAAATGATAGTACTTTGCATAAACATTCTCTCTAGTTTAATATGCAAAGCATTATTAGAATAGTATATAGGGGGTCCTAATAAAAATTATCGTTTTTGAGATCTTCGATTCTATGGGAGGAAAATGTTTTTAACAAAAGTTAAATGATAGAAAGGGGTCATCATATTATTACAAGTGATATTCTATTGGAGATCTGACAGTCACTTCAGTTTTTTTTTTTTAAACGAAATATATTTTTTTAATGTTTTTGATAGTGGTTGTTACGATTAACACAATGACCTGTAATATAAATTGTATAAATAACGGTTAAAGAACTCAATATTACGGAAGGCATTCAAAGTGATCAGTATCTGTGCAACACTGTAGAGTATTCTAATATTAAACATTATTGTATGTTAATAATCAGCCTTCAGAATGTAATAATGTTGTTATATTCAAATCCTCAGTTATAAAATTATGGTACTGCAAATAGGTTATCACTTTGAACATATTCTATAAAGGGTAATGCTCTTTGTTTTATAAGTTGTTGCTTGCTCACCGCTACTCGGCTCGTGTACAAGTGTACAGGATAGACTGGAATTATTTGTTACGAGCTTGACTGTCGTTGCATATCATGTATTATATTTGTATCTGTGTATTAATAATAAAATTCACTTAACTAAAACAGTTTCGATATGTAATATAGAGAATATAAAAAATCGTTAATTACGTTCATTAATGTAACGTTGATTAATTCATAGAAAAATGTATAATTTTCCGGTTGATCTTTTTTTTGTTAAATATATTTCCTACAATGCATTTAAAATGCTTTAAATAAAATAACATCTGTTAGAGAATTATTATTATAATATAGTTAGTTACACATAGCTCATATTTGATGCGTTTCTGATTGAAACAATCTATTATCCGTTGCCTAAGTTGTCACGCATAGGTATCAAGCGAGCTCGTAACGAATTAATGGATTTTGAGAAAAGAGAGAAGGAGAAGGAAAAAAGTAGTGGTGTTAGCGACGGACTGTTAACGAATAGGATAAATTCAACTGATATCGAAAGGATAGGATAGCTTTTTTTTTTTTCGAAACTGACCTTCAACGACCATGCATAACTTTGTATTGCAGATCCTTGTGTTTGTTTTAACGGTTGCCATAAAAAAATAGTTAAAGAAATACAACATTCAATTTGAAAAAAGCAGAGGCAACTGTCTTAAATCCGACGTTCCATTTATAAGAAAATTTTAATATCACCGTAACAATGACCCGTCTCTATTGCATAAGTTTTGTTGAAACTACTTTCTTTTTATCAAATCTTTTTATCATAGTGTCGAGGATATTAAAGACGTCAATTCGTTTTGATACACCTTGTATAACGATTACAGACAGGTCTTACTTTCTTGTGCTTATATAAAGTAATTAATGTTACACTGATCAAATAATCGTATATCAATTTGACCTTACTTACGAAAAATATTTATTTTATATTCAATAGAACTGTAATAGTTAAACTTCTTTCCGTCAATAGTTTCGATCGTGATTTACGTGGTTTTGTACCTTGGAATGTTAAATTAACAAAAATGTTAAACGTTTTACTGTATTTGTACATAGAAAAGAAAACTCGTGACTTTCAATTAATTTTATCAATTTGTCTTCTTAATTGCAGTACCATAAAAAAAAGATGAGAGCAGCTTGTGATGGAAAAATCAGATACAAATGAAAATATTACAAAATTTCACCCATAGATAAAAAATAATTTTGAAGCAGATATAAGTGTACAATTCAATTTAATCTATAAAGAGCAGAAAACAAAGTGAGTAACTGCCAATTTTATTCACTTTAGATGTGTGTCGCTTATTTTTTTAAGTAAGTAAAGGAAAAAACACTGTGATGTAAATGTAAATCTCTGAAATATATTTCTTGAATTTGCCATTAGCGAAACTAAAAGTGTAAATGTCTCCAGTGGAGCTATAAGCGTCTTTGGTGGTATATTGAGTTTGCAAGTGTGAAAAATAACGAAAGTTGCTCAAATGGAGCGATCGTTGCTATGAAACATTTGAGATTCGAATAAGTGGACGTTGATTTTATATAAATACTTTATATTCATCGTTTTGAAACGTTTGTTTCTAAGTCATTTGAGAACGCGTTATTGCGACTTTGTTATTCTAAGAAATATTTAGATCACCTGCTGGCCATGGGTGAACTTCTTTTTACATAACATTCGGCATTGAACCCAATATATAATACTCTTTTAAACCAAGAAAAGTCAAACTGCGAGTATGTGTACATGTAAATGTTTTATTTTATTTTATATTTTTACAAATTGTATAGCTTGCGTTTGATCAACAGAATGTTACGCATTAAATCAGAAGTACTCAAACTGCATAAATTCACTGTTACGTTCCTAAACATTATCTTAACTTTTCTCTCCTTTACTCTAATATTTTTAGCTTAGTTCCATGCAGTTGTCACAGTTGAGATTGCTATACATTTTTTTAACTAATGGTCAGAAGTCCCATCTATGATCTGGTTTTAAATTTAATTACATACCGCGAACATTATCAAAGTTTAGTCTACAGAATTTAAAGTTTGATAACTTCTGCTTTAAATGAAAACAAATATGCTCTTAAAGACGTAAAGTCGTATACTTAAATTTTGTACTGAATGCTACATCGATAATAGTGCTATATAATTATTACTATGGCAAATCCCTTTCGCATATTATTTTGTTCGTCAATGAAATCCAAATTAACATAAGACCGCCGCCACTTTATATTTTGCTATGGCGCTATTGTTTGGGAATTTTACGAATTGGATAGTTGTTTAATTGATTTTCAATTCTACGCATTACGATTAATTAACTTTCAAAGTTGGAATGGTAGATATTTCATAGGAGACGTACGTAACGATTCATCGTTCGCAACTAATGAATTCTTTCATTTAAAATTATTTTTTAGATCGAAGTCTTAATGATGCGTTTGACATTGTAAAGTATTAAATTTTTATAAAATATAGAATAGTAAACATAATTTACTCACAAATGATTATAAAAAATGTAATATGTTACGTAATATGATTTTTGTCAAATCTTGTCTTTTAACAGTTAGAGTGACATATAGATGGCATAAACCAAATTTCTGTTCTTATATGAATCAATTGTTAATCATTGAACAATTACTGCGACAATAAGAACTAATTTACTTGATATTTACACTTTTGCGAAATTAATTCTTATAAATTTATTTATATTTGATGTACAGTATTACCGTTAAATAATATATATTTCGCAGAAATTTGGTTCATGCCATTACTATACATATACATATATGGCATTACATTACTGATAACACTTTTTTATCGCCATTTTACATATTATAATTGAATCGACAACTTATGGGAACCCAATGAACTTAAAAAGTCCCGTGAATCTAGATAACGCTAAGCATGTATAATGCTTTTAAATTTCTAAGCATGTCTATATTAATCTTTTAATGCATACTTTGAATAGACATACTAATCCAAATCTTCAGAGAACATTCTTTAAATTTAGGAAGCAATTCTTTTTTAATAAAGTGGTAGACCGGTATGTTATTACAAAGTTTTAAGAGAAGTAAGAAAATGAACTGAAGAATAGTTGATCCATTAGGGAGGTTTTTAAGTATAACAGAAAATGCCAAGAAAAGTGTGCATGTGCGTGTGCGTGTACCAGTAGTTGCGTATGACACAGGGTGTCGAGTGTCTCCGATATACATTGAGGTATTCATAAAGATATTTACCATAAGAATTGAAGAAAAGCCGACATTCTCTGGAAAAATCAATATCCATTGAGTATTTATTAAAAAATGTTGCTCAAAGTTTACATAAAATATCATTAGATACCTTCAAAGACAATGCGTTTTCTGTTTCTCATCCTACGTACTATCAGTATTACATTTTACCTTAACAAGTCTATCCACTCATCCTTAGTAAGTATATGTTGTGCGTACACTGACTTTTTGTTATATGTTGAAATATTTATACGAGCGGCAAAAAACAACTCAAATGGAATAAAAAATGTTCTATGACACTATGTTTGATCTATCTCCGTTTTAAAGTGACAATTCCAGTAAAATTAAAATCTGTTTCTACTTATAGTAGTAAATAGTTAAGGGTATACGACTTTGGGGGTACATTGTAAATTAGTATATAATGAAGTAAAAAGTGTAAATCGTTTCGCTGTGACGCACACGCACACATGCACATGGAAGGACGCATAAACTGTTAGGTCAACAACCTATTTGAATGTTTTTTTTTTGTCTCGCGGTTATACATACATAAGTAATACACCGTCTTAAAGTTATACTATAAGACGCAGGGGTAGATCACACATGGTATCGTAGAACTTTTTTTCTTTAATTTAACTCCCATTATACTACCCTTAAAAATATTTCAACGTATATCGAAAACATTCTATTTATATATTCATATATGTAAGTCCAGTCAACCAAACCTGCAAAGCCCAATTTTGTTCAATGCCTGTTATAAAGTTATGGCTACAAGTTTAATGCAAGATTTTCTATAAACAACTTGCGCGCACATTGGCAGCAACATATGCATCAAATTGGCTTGCGCAGACTCTGTTCCGTTTTTGCTCTTAATTTGACACAGGTTATATTGCAAGACTTGCTGCCAATTTGTTTTAGCATTGCTTGCAAAACCCAAGTCAAATGCGGAAACAGGTGGCTATGGTTTTTTAGACAAATTTTGTCATTATTTGCTGGCAATTTGCTTGAAAATTGCATACAACTGGTTATCAGGGTGTATTTATATTTTTATGTGGCCCTCTGAATTTAACGCAATCGACGTGCAAATAAGTTTTTATATATTTTTATTTAACCTTTTCGGTGCTTTTCGGTGCGAACGACGAGTATACAAGTGCAAAGTGGTCCACAGAATGCTCACTTTCTATGTTGATAGTGTAACGTGCCTTAACAAATAATTATCTTTTTTTTTGGAAATAATTCATTATTTATAATTATAGTTTATATACTTATGAGGATTTTGAGTCTGGATTAGAAATTGAATCATTCCGAAAAATAAATTTATCTACAAATCATAACATGTATGAAGATTCGGATGATGATGTATAATTGTTAGGCCCATTATGCCGAATAAGTGTAGAAAAAGGAGTATTCTAAGCACATCGCAGTCAAAAGTTGGTAATGAAGTGGAAAATAGGTTTCTGGAATACCCGTGGTCACGGCGAAATTTGAATCCTATAATACATTTTTTCAACGAAAATAATTCTGGTGTTAGGTGGAATTTTCTTAATCATCTACATATTTTGATTATTTTCAATTATTTTTCTTCGCAGCCGGCAAACTCGCGCTCACATTGGTTGGAGTTTTTCGTTAATATCTGGTTAACAAAGCCTCGGATAACATTTTTGCTAAGAAAAAAGTTGTTTCAAATCATACCAGGAACCCCTTATTTCCGGGTGTCGAAGCTAATTTGGGACATCCTGTGTATGCTATGGTCTAGAGTGTCCAGACTCTGCCAATCTTTCCATTACCAGCCGTTACATTTGGTTACACTGCATTACACCGGCATTGACGCCATTGACCGGCAGGTAGAAGCATCCATTTACCCAACAGTGTATGTTTTCTGCATGTAATGAATTAGTACATGAAGTTACTTAGGAAATAGGTAGATATGATTTTTTAAACGTGAACCTGTGGCCTTAAATGTAATCTACAAAATATGTGTTATTTGTAGTAATATTTTGTTATGTATACAAACATACATAACCGCTTATAAAAGTTCTTTAATGGTATTATATACATAAGTTAAAAACTAGATATTACTATCAAAATTTACTATGGAAAAACTAAACTTACAAAAAGCGACAACTGTTGCAAAATCACCGTTACTTTTTGAAATATTTCATGAATGTCAAACAACAAAAGCTAGAACTGGAAGAATGAGTCTTGTTCATTATGATGTAGATACACCAGTGTTCATGCCAGTGGGAACACAAGTAAGTGAAGCTGTGAAGTAGTTACAACTTATGCATATATTCGAACTTTAATATTTTAGGGTACTTTAAAAGGTTTATTGCCTCAACAATTAGAAAAATTAAATTGTCAAATTATTCTTGGAAATACATATCATCTTGGCACACGACCCGTAAGTAGAGGATATTACAGCACTTTTTAAACTTAACTCTCTGTGATCCCCAATATTTGTACTACTTCCATTGTCCCCTGGGTCTCCTTTTAGGGGATGAAAAGTTTAAGAAATAGAATTTTTTGTCAATGAAATTGTTTATTTTTTAGGGTATTGATATTTTGAAAAAAGCAGGTGGATTACATAACTTTATGAATTGGAAAAGAGCTTTATTAACAGATTCTGGAGGTTTTCAGATGGTATCATTATTACAACTTGCATGCATTCAAGAAGATGGCGTTGAATTTCGATCACCATATACTGGTAGTTAATGTTTAAGAATACAGAATCAGTTTACATTTAACAATAGAACTACCAACGATAAACGCATATCTTTTTCAATCGATCGATAAATGTGGCAAACTTTTAAAAATTTACAAATTTATAAATTAACTAATTTCTTTAATGTCGTATCGTAGTAAAAGTTACAAAAGATCTGAGAAAACGTATTGTTATAACATTTTAATCATCGTTGTAAAAGTGTATTGGCAAATCATTTTGACTTGTTTGGTAGTTCTAGTATTAATTACACATAAAGAGCTCTAGATTTCAATAAATTTCTAGTATTTCGTAGGATCCACATGCATATTGTCACCTGAATATTCCATAGAAATACAAAACATAATAGGTGCAGATATAGCTATGCAGCTTGACGATGTAGTTCATAGTACATTAAAAGGACAAAGAGTAGAAGAAGCAATGAACAGGTGCGATTGTGTTTCTTATAAATATAGTTATCATTGACATTTATTGAAACATGTTTTAGTATTGAATACTTAATTTTAGAACATGTAGATGGTTAGACAGGTGTTTAAAAGTTCATGGCAAATCGAATGAACAGAGTATATTTGCAATTGTACAAGGTGGTCTTAATGCTAAGCTCAGATCCGAATGTGCAAAAGAACTTGTTCAGCGCAAAGTCAATGGTTTTGCTGTTGGTGGATTGAGGTATTAATTTATACAGTATTATGTAAAAAGTTATTTAAATTTGCATTATTGTTTCTTAGTGGTGGAGAAAGTAAAGACGATTTTTGGAGAATGGTACATCTTTCTACAGACATACTTCCAAGAAATAAACCACGTTATTTAATGGGTGTTGGATTTGCTGTTGATTTAATTATTTGTTCTGCACTGGGAATAGATATGTTTGACTGTGTCTTTCCTACAAGAACAGCGGTAATAATAGACTACATTTTCAAAGAATCAGTAACAGTTTATATAAACTATTATTAATCAACAATCTTCATTAATTATATATATCTCTTTCAGAGATTTGGCTGTGCATTAATACGTACAGGTCAAATAAACTTAAAGCAACTTCAGTATCGTAAAGACATGAGACCAATAGATGAAACATGTGAATGTAGTACATGTAAAACGTATACACGCGCGTATCTACATCATATCGTGACGATAGAAACAGTTGCATGTCATTTATTATCTGTTCACAATATTGCATTTCAAATGAAATTAATGCAGGACATTAGACGAAGTATTGAAGAACAAAAGTTTCCAGAATTCATACAGCAATTCATGTTAGATTTATATCCTAACAAGGAATATCCATCATGGATAATTAATGCTTTAAAAGCTGTTAATATTAAATTGTTATAGAAAGATACTATTTTTCTAATAATATTTATTCAAATAATATCAATGTAGAAATTTCAAATTTTATTCTTTGTGTTAGACATACATTTCTATTATCCAAGACTATAGTAAATTAGGCACAAAATATAAATGTTGTAAATAACTTTATCACATAAAATCATCTGAATCATACCCACTGTTTTCAGTATTTGATATCATATTGGACGCATTGAATAAAGAATTGTAGCTCCTGAAAGAAAGTAAAAATTATGATATTTTAAAATGTTTTATGAAATTAAAATTTTTCAGTAATAACAAAGTTTGTAACTTACCTGATTTCTGCTTCTTCCTGTTTTTGCTTCTCTTCTGCTTTCTCCCTTTCTTTTTGCTCTCTTTGAAGTTTTTTCTTATCTTCTCTTTCATTTCTATCTCGCTGTTCCCTTTCTGCTTGAAAATTCACTTGCTCTAAACGTTTTGTTTTATTCAATCGATTGATAATAGTATTTATTCGTTTAGCAACATGAATTTTACGAAGATCTTTATATATATGAAAAGCAACTTGTCCTACTTCCATGCCCTGAGTTTTTTTTAAATTAGACCACATTGTATATACAACATCGACATTATTTAACTTGTTGCCCTCTACACTATTTGCTTTTACTAATTGTGCAACGTCTTCTAAAACTGTGCTTGGTATATCATCGATTGTCTGGCCCTATAAATCATATATAAATATATAACAAATTAACAACATTCGTACGATGTCTTTGAAATATACTGAAGTATTTATAATTTATAGGGATGATATGGGAACTTCATTGTAACAGAAATTGTGCTATGCTACTAAACTGTATATTCTACAATTTTTTTTTAATGAGAAAGAGTACTAACAGGACGAAGACGGAGGTATACATGTGCGGAAGAATATGTATGAATATGAAACCAAACATCTTCTGGCCAACCCCACTTTATAAGATCATCATCTATGAAATCAAACATGAATTAATTAATATGTATGGCGCTTTGAACGTTAAGAAAATTTTAATATATATCACTTACTTTCATATTTATCAACTCCCATAAATAATGTTACGGGTGGTTGTACAACTGCAATTTGAAATTAACTGTTATTCTAACCTTATTGTTTGTTTTTCTCACATTATTAGAATAGCAAACAAGTTTGATATAAATACAATAACTATGGAACCTACAACATGATAAAGAATAGTACCTTCGCTTGTAAAATAATATACCATTGTTATTTTAAGACTTTCAACTAAACACGCGTTATGATGTTATCTGTCAAATTTTAAAATGAGGAAATTCAATAGACATAGTTATAAGCATGATAAGTAGAGATGGCGTGAACTGCTACTTGTGAATCACTCGTGATTCGATCACGTTCGTTCCCAATCACGGTGATTTTTCACAGTGATTCGTAATTTCTCGTGATCGTTTTTGATTGGTGGAGAAACCTAACAGTTCTTTACACGCGACACATAATCTGTATATTTTATATTAACGACATCGAAACAAAAATTCGAGTTATATCGTATAAAGTGAAGGAATAATTAGAAACAATGAAGAATAATGAATAAATTAATGATTATAAAATATAATCTACATGTTACCTAGCAAATCATTCTTTTAGAATTTCTTGCTTTTTCTAGTGATTGTTACAAACACGAATAGTAATGTAATTCATCGTAAAAACATATTGAATACGTTTTTCTGTTTAATGATCAAGGACTTACGATCGCAGTGAGCGAATTCACTCTAGATAAAAAAATTGCATTCACGGTCGTGAATGAGGTTAAATCACGACCGTGATCGTGATTCGGCGATCACTCTGATAAATCACCGTTAGTGATTTTGCACGTCATCTCTAATGATAAGCATTAGTAGGATATTTTGTATCATCATATGTTTCCTTAGAGGTCGCTGGAATACAATTGAGTTGTGAAGTCTACTCATTAGATAGCCCTGCTTACACCACCGACTAGGTATAGGATAGACCTATCATCTTATGGGACTTCGTGTCTCATGTTCTGAAATACCGATAGTGTAAAATGTCAGGGATTTTCTGCTGCCCTCTACGTTAGGAGAACGGTGAATTTGTGAACTACGTTAAATCTAAGAAGGGACCATGGTCGTGACCGGATTCTCTTCTGTCCGTTCGCTATAAAGTAGACGTATTAGAAAGGAGTCTTGGGTTCTAATCCCGACGGACCTATATTAGTTTTTCTTCGCGTACAAAAAAATTATTGCGTTTAATATTGTTTTTATGGATATGTATATGTATTATTATGTACATTTGAGTAAATTATTTTATTATTCCATTGTTATTACAACAGTTTAACAGTGACAACGAACGCATGCATATTTTCAAATGTCGGACTAATAGTATATTTTTATTCTATATTATTACATATAAGTGAGTAATACGTATCAAAAACGTAATCGAAACACAGATTTTTATTACACCATAAACATCGCATAAAAGATATTTCGTTATATTGACATTTGTAATAATTATGGATGTTGCAAGAAAATCAATATTATTGACATTATGGAACATATAACGAAATATCACTGTAACACTTAAAAAAGTTTTAAAGTTCCATTTATATCATTGTCCTGTGAAAATGTTCATACTTCCAGCAACATTCATATTCCAATCAAAGAATTTACAGAATAAGGAAAAGGAATCTAAAGTAATTTTCAGTAGTTCCATACATCTTTATCTCGAATACTTTTCTAAAACATTCAAAGTACTAGACATTTTTACACTTTGAATCTCATATCGATTTCTAAAATAATCCTAGTTCGATGTAATATAGAACGTGGTTTTATGAGATAGATTCGAAGTTCGCAGCCATTAGCTCGATATTGTCATCAGTTTAAAGTACTTTACCGATGATAATACCGATTGCCCAGGCCTCACCACGAGGAGGTTGCTGCGAGTGGAGGCCCAAGGCAGGTAAATCTTAACTATGTAATACTATCTGTACTAAAATCCCTCGGCGGATTACTTCTTTCATGAGCCTAAACCTATAAAAAACTAAGTTCCCTCGTCGGTTGTCTTCGTTCTTCAGCTTAGAACTAATATTATCTTAATATTCTAATTAATACGAATTAATGCTATTAATACAAAATAACTTCAACTAAACGCAACGTAGTCGCTAATACTCAAACGAAAGAGATAGACTAATTATATATTTTTCAAATATTTAACAATTAATATTTAATAACTTTTTAATATTTACAAATTATACAATGTCTGAACTCTTTGATAGTTACTAAGGGAATGTTATAAACAAGAATATTTTATGGAAAAATGGAACATTTTAAATTGTCCGCGGAAATATATATACATACAATAGGCCCTTTGTTTATGCAATAGCAAAGGTTATTATATTTGACTATAAAATTAAGTTAATAGTTGGTCGCTTTGCCTTCTTTTTTAAATAATTTCCACACATCTTCGTGGTATAGATTCTGTCATAGACATGTGTAATAGACTGCGCGGTCTTATGGTAGGGATGATGTCGGCACAAGAAAGAGAGAACAATAACTGAAGTATCCATTCTCTCTTTCTAATGGGGTTGTTGGGGCTCGTTATTAATGGCTGGTGGGCTGTATGCCGTACTATTATTTAATGCTTTATACTATTTATTAATTTTGCTAAATACATATATCTATACAAACTACATGACATACGCAAGTTTTAACGTATAATAAGTATATTCTTTTCATCTCTCATAGCATACATGTATGTAACGTGATGGCATACCCGAATAGCACCGAAATGGAACGAAGTTACCCGATTTATAACTAACCACCCCCTTACCGCGAATCTTACTCCCCCGCTCAGTTCATGCTCCGTCTATATATGTCTATGGTTATTCCATGTTTTGTGGATGACATCGAATAAATCAATTAAATTTTCATTAAAAAAAAAATTCAGCTTTTTAGCTGAAACTACCTTTTTCACACCATTCCATGACATTTTGATTGGATTTAAATGCAGTAATTGACCCGGTCACTTCATAACATTAACGTTATTATCGTGAACAAAATTGTGTTGCTTTGCGAGATTTGTTTTTCGTGAATACTTAATTACTTTTCTAATGCTAACTGTGAAACACTTGAGCGGCATACAGAGGTTGCAACATGCGGCGATTCATAGGCATCGACTCCTAGGTTTCATGAAACAGCATCAGCTCTTAAAACTCCCCACCTGTATGTATTTTATACCATGTAGGTGGGATGCACAAAATAAAGTCACACATTTTTAATAATTATTTACATATTTAGTTAACACTAAAACTAACAATAGAAAGATATAAACATAATTCTTAAAAATAAATAAAAATACAGAAAGAAAAAAATTTGGAGACTGATTAAAAGCAAGAGTACATTATGTACAGATACCTGTAGTAAAAATCTATATAAACTTTCGCAGCAATTTATAATGCTATTCTTATTTTTTGCTTCAATTAATAATAGCAATTCTATTTGCTGTTATTTTCTGTAAAGATATTTTTCATTTGATGTTTCAGGATTATTAGTTGCAGTAGAATGTTAAAACTAAACAGCTTAATACTAATACAATTTCATTTAATGCTTTAACGTGTAATGAGGATAGTATTGTATTTTTTGTACTGAGTTACGTTGCGTATTGCATTTCGGTCCAAGTATTTATTTCTTATAACATAAGATTTTACTATCAGACGAATGTTTTTTTTACATATCTTTTACGTATTCTGAGAAGACCATCAGGCCATCCCTGGCCCCTATCTATTTAGTTACAGCAATGGTGTTATTGTCAATAATAAGGAGTATACTGATTATAAATAAGAAAAAGTTAAAGACCATTAGGAAATTGGCAAAAAGACAGTTACTTGAGAGTAACAAATTTTCTAATTCTGCATCTTTAAAAGGACTGAAAGCAAACGAATTATAATTAATTATTTACGTATAAACGAGTATAATGCTTACCGACATTTATTGGAAAAAATTCGTCCAAACACTAAAAAGCAAAATACATACAGTAATAACGAATGGAGTTATTGCAGAAGAATGACTATGGGCGTAAAATGTATATTACCTATGTTAAACTTTATGACATAAATAATATAATATAATTTAATATAATGTAATATAATATAATGTAATGCAATACAATATAATACAGTACCATATAAAACGAATAAGAAATTAGAGGTCAACATAAATTGCGAGAAAAACATCTGCGTCAGAGTCGAGCCCGTCGAGCCTTGCTCACCAATAGGACGGGACGGGAATCTGATAATCTGATCCTGTATCGACGCAAGACGCAAGACGCAAGCCGTTGCTGACTCCGATGCGTCGATTCCAACCTACACACGTTGCGACTTGCGTCCTGAAACCTAGGAGTCGATTCTGTAGGCCGCTTTGAAGCACAATAAGTTAGTGTTTTGTACAATATTAAATTTTTATTACATATTTTGTGTATTAAAAATGGACTTGAATAAAAACTTTTTGAAGGAGTTTATTAATATTTATAGAATGAACCAGTGTTTATGGAATAACAGAAGTAAAGAGTATACCGATAAAAAATTGCGAAATAAAGCGTACGAAGAACTTCTACAAAAATGTAAAGAATCATATCCAGCTGCCAATAAAGAGTTTGTGATTAAAAAGATTCATACTTTGCGATGCAGTTTTCGAAGAGAACTAAGGAAAATTCGAAGATCAAAGGCAAGTGGTTGTTCAACCGAAGATCTGTATGTACCAAGTTTATGGTATTATGACTTAATGAAGTTCATCACAGGCTGTGAAGTACGACATAGAGGAGTATCAAAGTTTGATGATGAAAAAGAGGAAAATGAATCAGTGAAAAATGATATTCAAAACGAAGTAAGTCATTTTTTTATTTAAAGACAGAATATTATTAAAATATTGAAAATTATATGTCTAATGGAATTCTATTATTGAATGTCATTTTGTCCTGGAATAGTACACTACTTTCATTATTAAAATAAATTTTATATTGATCTTTAATTTCTTTAGCCCTTGTAGTTGTTCCTTTTGCAGTACTAAGGAACAAATCCAAACAGATTCCATTTTGATGTTAGTTCCCAGGTATAATTGTTGCACTTTCAAATTTTTCTACATCATTATAGTGACTTGGTAAATAGGTTGTAGATAATATGCCACTCATATTATGGAGAACACAACTCGCCAATACCATTCTGTCAACATTTTCAATATCAACACATATGTCTGTTTGAAATACTCAAAATCAAGGAGCCATAATGCCAAATGCATTGTCTATAATTTTTCTTGCACAACTTAGCCTATAATTAAAAATATTTTCTTCATTCGTAAGGCTCTTTTGAGCATAAGGTTCTAATAAATTTTGGAGGACTAGAAATGCTTTATCGGCCACAAGAATGAAAAGTAGAGAATATTGAGTACCATCAGGTATTTCTAGTAACAGTAAATTAAAAGCAGTGTTTATTAGTTTTTTATAAAATTTTGTTATTTGTAAAACTTCTTCATCTCATATACGTTCATTACTACCAATATGAATAAATATAAATTCATAATTAGCCTTAACAACTGTTAGTAATATTACACTGAATTTTACTTTGTAATTATAATAGAAAAATCAACTATTTGAGGATTTTATGATATTAATGTGCTTGCCATCTATACCTCCACAGTATGTATACAAATTGCATTGTTTTTTAAACTCTTTGGCAAGTGCTTTCCATTCTTCTCCATTTTTTGGAAATCGAAAGATAATTCGATAATGAGAACAAGACAAAATTGCAGTTGTTTGGCTATATCAGCAAATTTGGTTATTTGTTTTTATTTTGTCTAATTTCAAATTTTTGTGTTTTAGGATAGCGAAGATAGCAACACTGTGTCAGAAACTCCTTCCACTAACTGTAAACAAAAAAGTAATGTTGAACAAGATTTGTCGTCAATAGCCACTATACCCTTACAGCAACATAATGTAGCTGAAGCAATAAAAAATCAAATTGATGATAAATTTGATGTTATGGGGAAAAAAATTGCATTTGATTTGAGATGTATTGATCAACATCAACTAATTATTGCTGAAAAATTAATTAGTGACACAATTTATTATGCAAAACTAGGCAGACTGAACGAAAATGCAACTATAACTGTTCCACAAAAACATCAAATGCCTTATTCAACAAATCTTCGACAGAATGTTTCCTCTTATAAAGGGTGATCCAATAAGAGGTGTAAGATTTGTTTTGTACTTGAAAATACAAAGTTACCTGAAATATTAAACTTTTATTGTACTGATATATTCAGTAGGGATATAAATTATCTATGGGAAATAGATAAACAATATCATGCAAATGGCCATCTTTACTCTTTTTGCCGACCACAGCTTCTTTGACTAATCTTTGCGTAACATTTTCCAACATAATGGATTGTATTTCACCAATAGCTCGTCGCATATTATCCTTCGGATGTTTCATAGTTTAGCATTGTCAACGCGAGTCTGGTCCTTCACATGACTCCAAAGAAAGAAGTCCAGTGGTCAAAGAAAATGATTTTGTTGCAAAAGTCAGCATCAACATCTTTATTCTCCAGCCTTTAACTGACGAATATGTGGCGCTGCAAATGGTCTGCTGGGTACAGTTCTTGAGTTAATGTAATTTTGGAAGCATGCAATGCTGATCTTTAGTTAAAATTCATTGCATTAAACCGTACGAAAGATTAATTTCCTGTGAACTACGGTGAAATGACATTTTTGAAACGTTCTTGACACTTTCACTCAGAGTAGCAATGTTTTCGTTCGAACGAGCATTGCGGCTTCGCACCGGTACAGGACTACAGGTGTGTCAAATACTGCGTAGCAGAAGCGTTGACCGCGCGCAGGCAAGGCGACCGTCGTCATTGAGTACCACTGAAGCAGTCGCGTGTTTGCTGAACTGTTTCACTTCTCTATTGAAAAAAAAATAGATTTTGTAATTTTCCTTGACACCTTCCTTAGCAGAAAGGTTTGCTCTATTGTATGCTATGATTAGATTGTTTTCTAGAACCTTAGTTTTTGAAATAAATCAAAGAGTATCAGCAAAAATTGGTGCGTTTTCGGTGTCCTTTCCACTTTGATCATTTTTTAAATATATTTAGATGTCTATAATATAACAACAATTTACATCATTTTGTTCGGGAGAGTCCAGAGAATTATTTGATGTCAAAAGAAACTGAATAACTATTACTGTAAAAGCACACCTCCAAATTTGAAACTGCATTTTTTTTTAAATTTATTTTTCCAAAAACTGGACATTCTGGGAAGAAACGGGTTGCAGATTCATATTTATTAGTACATACAGATCTATCAGAAACAACTATCAACGGTTACGGGATATTTTTCATATTTTACAACATATTGACTATGTTGCTGCCAATCTGTGCAGAAGTTGTTTATAGTAAAAGTTGCATCAAATCTGTAGCCATGCTGAGTACATAACCCAGTGGTGGGCAAAGTTGGCTCTCGGGAGCTAAAACTTGTCTGCACCATCGTTCACCGTTACCATGGAGTGACAGAGACAAGAGTCTGGGCTTCTTTGTTTCTACGAAGGCACACGGTGCGAAAGGAAGGTTGGAAGGGGAAACAGGCGCGTGAGGTGCCCTTACGCTGCCCAGCGGTGGCATATGGCACAACCTTATAACAGGTACAGTAGGCGCTCGTTTATTGCACTTCTGGGGCTCGTAGAGGGTTAAATTTTCAGAAGTATGCATTAAACGAGCTCTAATTTTCAACTACCCGCGCGCTTTCCCCGTTAATTATCCGTTGACTTGTTCGACGTAGCTGTATATGTATAGGGTGGGCTAGATGTACACAGTTTTTAATCACTTTAACTATATCTGTTATTTTTAGAGATATCAAAAAAGTTTGTTCACAAAAGTTAGTGGTGACACATTTTATTAAAACAATATTATGTATACCGGACATTCTGGGATGAAAAATATGCAAGTTAAACGCGACACCGTATGTATTGCGTTCCTTGCTTGTTTACGGTCATAGTCATCGATGTTTTTCGAATTTACAGCATTTGTTGATAACCACGAAAAAATGAACCATGTCAAATTTTAGCTTCCTATCTTGAACCGTTTCCGAGATATGTAATGTCAAACTTTTTAAAAGTTGGACGAAATCACCGGCACAACATAATTACTTCAACTGCAACATTTTGATTATTTTTAAACATAGAGCATTGATCTTTCTCTCATTTTAAAGCCAAAGTAACGCTTTGTGTTGTTAATAAATACAACAATAATTAAAGTTACCTGTTTAAATACCGATTTGATACTGTTCCCACTCTTGGATCAATTTGGCGAAAATACCACTGGATTTCTCGAACCTTCAGCTTTAAAATACTCTTCCCAAAAAGATGCAGCGATTTCGGGAATATTTAAAAAAAAATAAAGATTACCATGATGTAATTCCTGTGTAAATGACACAGGAGTGTAGAACGCGCTCATTTGTATAGAGATATCCATGCAAGGACGTACACACCGCTCTCGTTAGGGGAAAAAGTGATGTAAGTGAGGGGCCTCCTACCATTTAGTTTTGGAAGTTACTGAAATCTATGCCAAATTAACATTCGGTTTAACATTTATTTCAGTACTTGAAATAAATTTACTAAGTGGTAGAAGATTTTTCTTCTACGCCTTTTTCCCTTAGCGGAAACTGAGTTTGCTCGCAAGGACGTACGAACAGACAGCGGGTTCGGGCTGATCTTCGTCGACTGCAGGGTTGTGTTGATTCACGATCTAGCACAGACTTGTGAAATTGCATCTCGGAAACTCTTTATCGTATTGAGTTAATCTAGAAGATTTGCACTATTTGAATAATATTTTTTTAAATTGAAATATCATTATATGATATGGAAAATTAGAAACAAATGTTTGTAATAAACGAGCTTCTACTTCCCGATAGCACATAACGCCTTGAAGACGTCCATTTTACGGCTATTTTAGGTCTAAGGCGTCTTTAAGCCGTCTTCAAGGCGTTATTAGGCGTCATGTGCTATCTGGGCTGTATGTGACTTCCCAAAACAAATGCATAATTTATATTAAAATTATAGAATTTTATTATCTTAGAAAAATGGAATATATTAATTTAAAGTTTAGCAAATAATAATATAGGAAAAATATCACTGTGTTTATCCAAGTTTCAGAAACTGTGGATATCCTTAATGTACGAAGTGTTCATTACAATATTATCAGTTTTTGTTCATTTTCATCCACATTAGTACAAATTGTAAAAAACTTCCGAATTAATCGTGATTAATGATATCGAAATACTTATATTGGAAAACGAAAATACACCGATGTTCTACGTTAAGGATGACGCAAGGATCTCTGTAAAAAACTGTAAAAAACTTCCGAATTAATCGTGATTAATGATATCGAAATACTTATATTGGAAAACGAAAATACACCGATGTTCTACGTTAAGGATGACGCAAGGATCTCTGACTCGGCGCACTGAACCGTTACATCGTGCATCCTCCTCGAAACAGACGGCTAGTGAAAGGAATACGCCCTGTGATGATCCGTAGCAAATCCAGCGATCTGAATCCTCTGACGAGGTCGCCGCGCTCCGTGTCTTACGGGACATTGTAAAGCGTATGACCTAATGGTGTCTGTTTGATGGTGTGTATGTACATATACACTTATTAATACATACCTTCGTATTAGGCGTGGCGCGTACGAGCGAATTTCTGACCGCAAGGCGAGTTATAGCTTCTTCAAAGATATAGGGTTAGCCATAAAGCTGACCGACCCTAAAGTTTATGCCCAGATAGCACACATACGACTTAAGGCGCCTTAATGACGGCTTAAAGGCGCCTCAGACCTAAAATAATCGTAAAATGGGCGCCTTCGAGGCATTATGTGCAATCTAGGTGTGTTTCGGTGGCCTCATCCTGTCATTCGATACCTTTGAGTTTTAAAAACTGTGCTCGACCGTCATTCAGGGGCCAGCGACGTCAATTTGGGATTGGTTTTTTCGTTTTTATCTAATTAAACTAGTTCTTATAGTGTACTAATTTCAGATCCAAAATACTTCTGGCCATTCTATTCCCAATGGAAGCTTACGAAAACGTAAATTTCTTTCAAATATTCCAGTCTTTTTTGTTACTAATGGTTTAAGGGCCGGCCTCGTTTATAGCTAACGCTATATCTTTGAAGCAAATAATAACAATGTATGGTTTAACTTAAAATTCTTATCACAGTATTCTGGAATTTTCAAATTATATGAAGCTATGGTTTACTTTCATCCTTCATTATTTAGTCTTTGATGACACAAACATCTGTATTTACTATAATGAAATTACAAATAGGGGAGAATTGCCTTTATCGTATCCCTTAAGATATTTTATGTCATATTTCCTGTTTGGCGCTAATTTATACACAAGTTAATATTGAATGTTATAGTTTGATGTGTAAAACACATACTATTGAATGTGGAACCTTTCCTGAAGAACAAATTTATTTTTATAAATTTTGTTATGACAAAATGTAAAAGGTGCGATTTAAGCAACATGTCTCCTAAATCGTACCTATTTTAAAAATAGTAAATTTGTAAATATAAATAATGAATAAATTATGAGTGAGACAAGGAATCATTTATTAATATATATTTATACATATTAAGAATGAACAAAGGAACATCCAATATACAATAATTGAAAAATAAAATATTTATATTAATATTAATTCATGTCACATATTAAATCTCATATTTCATCAGTAACAAATAAATTTCAATGCAATAAAAAAAATGTTTTTAATTTTCCTATTATAATTAATCTATTTAAAATTACCGGTACAATTTAGAAAATATGCTGAATTTATTTATAAATATCGATGTAACTTTTATAATAAATGTAACCCAGATAGCACATGACGTCTAATGACGTCTTGAAGACTGCTTAAAGGTCCCTTGGACCTAAAATAGACGTAAAATGGACGTCTTCAAAGCGACCAATCGCAATGCATAGCCAACGACGCCAACGTTACCGCGGGAACTCGGTTGGTAGACTCGTGCTCTGATTGGTCGGGATTTTTCGTGAATATCTCGTTAACAAAGTCTCGGATCACATTTTTGCTAAGGAAGAATTTGTTTCAAATCACCTCACGAGTCTCTCACGTCCGGGACCTCCAACATTTTTGTTACACCCTGCATATTGGAAAATGAGCGTCCAAAAAATCGCTTTCAGTGCGGAAACATTTAATTACATTTATTTAATTCGGCTTCGCAGCAACTGCATCGTAAAGGGAAACAGAGGAAGTTGTGTTTGTTTGATTACTGTGATAAAGTAATTACTCGGGCTTCAATAATTATTTCAATTAGCCTCGTGTATTCAGAATGACAAAAAACCACATCAGCTTAGCGACCAAAAACCTCTTTTGTATGCTAAGCTTGACGATTTTTCACTTTTATACTGATTCCTTTTAATTTCGACTTATTGTTAGTACGTAAGAAAACTATAAGCGTTTACATGAATAAGATACATTGGTTAACATAAATGCATAAATCAAAAGTACTCTGTCCGATATTTATGAATGTTTTACATGTGATATTACACAGTTAACATTGTTAGAAGATTTTTAAAAGTCTTTGTACACACGTTTCATATATATGTCTGTACGTGAAAAATATTAATCATTTATTTATCATTATTCTATGAAAATTTGCATTCAGAAGAGAAATATTTATTACCGAATGTGTGCAGCGGAGAAGAACTCATTCTTTGTACTGATATTTACCAGTCATTCAGATGTTTTTATGTGAAACTATTACGCTCTGAAAGGAAGCAGCTTATTAATCCGGGTTTCTAATTAATATTGTTTTGAATCGAAGAAGTGTATTCATGTATACTATGTGTGGATTGTGGGTACATTGAAATATACAAATTGATCTTTATAGACATTAGATGTAAGATGTATGTACTCCTACAATTACTGGGATTCATCAGAGGATCATAGATGTAATCGTTACCCCGTTCATGAATTACGCGAATACATAAGGCATATCCTCCCCTTCAACTTGTATAAAACAGTGGCGGGGCACAAAGGAAGCAGAAGCAAGGTACGGTGCCGAGTATATAGTCTCATCGTGAGTCGTTTGATCGTGTAGAAATGCACATCAGTGGATGGAACAAGCTCATGTCACGTGTCTTTCTACAAAATTCAGTGGACTAAAAATTCAGGGCTATTGAATTTGTTATATTACACCGCTATCATGATGATTCTTGTGAGTATATTCCCTTACATTCCATTTTTTACACATTTCTGTTGCGTATCTCGATATTGTTATAAATAAAGTCGTTTTCAAATCCTTAAAAGATTTATGTTATCCTATTAAAAAATTTTGCAACTGCAGAACTGTATCCACAATATTGCAGTACGTTGTTTTCTTTTTTTGTCTCTTTTGTTTATTGAAATTGTCTGTTCCTTTTGAGTTTGAACATGATTTCTAGCTGCGTATTGGAAACTGCTTATGGAGAAAAAATTACTATGAACGTTTCAGCGATTAACAAACAATTGTAGTTCGAAATACTTTTCGATGTCAAGCTCTAACAAGACTTTCTTTGACGAAAATTGGAAAAATTTTTGGTGTCAGACATTATTTTCAATGTTATATACGTATTGGATTGTTTGGAATTTCAATTTATAACATATTCTTATTTACTATTTTTTATACAATGTCTATTTTTCAATTAATTAAAAATTCTTCAATCTGTTTGTAGATGGATAACAAAAAATCCAATTGAGTGGTGTAATTTTTTTAAAACAGACTTTGTGCTTGTTTATATGTTTCGTCGGTATTTCGCCCAGAAAACAAAACAAAAACGACGAATAACTTATACAGCAAATACATTAAATTCACTCCTAGAATATAGTACCTATTTATCAGATCAAGATCTTTCGAACAAATCAGAATTTTCGGACGACCCAATACAACAAAATGTACAATTCGTATAGAAAAAAATTTTACATGTAAAAAATCTCATCAGGCTTGTACAGTAATTTTTTGAGGTATCAATACACAGTGACGAAAAATGTATGTACACTTATAAGGTGTATGTTATTGCCTATAATTGTTTGTTCAGGAAATTTGATTTTCCAACGTATGAAGAGCTGTAGAAACACACTACATAAATATGTATGTGCTCCCCCCTCTCACACTTTATTAGACAATGAATTACGTTGTGAATTAATTGTAATCTTAATTATAACGAAGTAATCAGCAACAGAGAAATCAGTTGAAGTAGAGACTACAATGTGTTAATGCCAAATAATTATTCATGAAACTTACATACCTGCACACCCACGTGGCGGCTCTTCTTCGTGATTAGACTGCGGATCTCTATGCAAATATAGATTTTCATTGTCTATTTTACAAAAACTGGCATTAAACGGAAATTCCTTTACCTTATTCAGGATACTATCAGGCTCCAAATAAAACAAATACCTCATCAAAGTTCATTAAATATTGTATCAAGTTCATTAATATGTACAATAAAGCTCTGTTAAACGTTCAAACGTCGAGTCCGCTTTGGAATTGTTATTGATCCAAGTCAATTTCGACTACAAGTGAAAAACAAAGAGGGATTGTGCGTAAAGACAGTCGACAAAGATTTAAATGCCCGCGTATGAGCGGGACGACCAAAATGCAACGATGAAACATTTTCATTTTGAGTTGTTTATTAATAAACAGTTTATTGGTATATTAGTGAGATCTTCCTGATTGAAATGAGATCAAACATGATATAATTTGGACAATTTCTAATTTATCATTATTGTGTTCTCTACACAAAATTATTAACGGACAAGCAAATAATGCAAAGATCACGGCACTAATAAACTTCAATTAGAGCTCCCCCACTTTTTAGGCCTTCACCATGCACATCCACACTTAACAATACTGACCCAATTAATAGAATCTGGACGCAAGCGAACAATTACAGCAACCAAATTGATTTTTTTACTCCGGACGCAAATACATTCAAGACTAAAATCTACAGGAAAATAGAACGCAGCAAACTTTAAGCTAAATATTCAGATATACTCGTTAAATATGTATCTCTGTAGACCTATTACCTATATAATGTAATATTTTTGTAAATTAATGGGCCTTGCCCCGTGGAAATAAATATTAATAATAATAATATTATCGCTTCTTGTTTCAAGCTCTTAGAATATTGTCGCTAATTCAAATAAGTAAAAACGCTCTAGGATTAACACAAAAAATAACATTTAATAGAAGCTGATATTTGTACAAAAGTTGGTAGTTACAAAATTTTGTGTTCCATGTTCAAGTCTTATGAGTAGACTGCGGATTTTTAAGCAAAATGAAATTTTCTACAACAATTTATACCGAGAAGAGCAAATCTAGGGATTACATTTTTTTCTTAAGTATCATATTGGGCTCAGAATAAATTAGAAAACTCATTAGATGTGATGAAACTTCTGTCTTTTACTGTATTTTACAGACCCCTGTAGGTTATAAATGAATAAAATCCGCAGTCTACTTATGAGTTATTCTCATTACAAAAGCTTGAAAGTTGGATTCGGCTTGCTAGTTGTGGTTCGTTCGTTACAGGAGTCCTGAAGGTTTGATTACTTCTAATTCTTTAGTTGGAAAATATTCTAATTGTACCTTACATAATCTCCCCTCATCTGGGACGTTGAAGGGGTGAATTCAGTGGTGGTTGCATGGAAACGACGAATCCTAATTGAGGGGGGTTTCCGAATTGTGTAACGCCAACTGACCCCCTGACTTCGTTTTCTCACGTAGGCCACGCAGGACGTTGCACAAACGTTCCCTGCACAAGGAAACCGGCTGATAACTTAGGATCGTTTTTCCGCTGCGTGCGGGTTTACGATACGTTGAGAAAAGGTAGTTATAGCTGCTTCAAAGATATAGCGTTAGCCACAAATCTGACCGATCCTAAAGTTTATGTGTTTCGGTAGTCTAATCCTGTCATTCGGTACCCTTGAGTTGTAAAAACTCTGCTCGAACGTCGTTCAGGGTCGTGCGACGTCAATTTGGGATCGGTTTTTTCGTTTTAATGTAGTTAAACAAGTTCTAATTGTGTACTAATTTCAGATTTATAATACCTGTGGCCCTTTTATTCTTGATGAATGCTTACAAAAACTTAAATTTCTGTCAAATATTTCAGTCTATTTTGTTTTATTTTTTGGACCCCCATAGCTGAAAGTTGCGCACGACCCTGAGTGCGGTGGGACACAATGGGCCCCCGATGATCGAGTACTAATGGTTTAAGAGTCGGCCACGTTTCTGACTGTCGCTATATCTTTGAAGCAGCTATATGACTCATTTGTTTTCTGTTTCAAAACAGAACAGGTATTCTTCATCTGTATCGAAATCGTTAACGAAAAATTCCAAATACTTTGAAGTCAGCTAATCAATATATTGAATGGGGCAGTTCCTATCGATTGTAGCGTAAATATAAACAAATGTCCAGATGTTCTGAAACAATCCTACATATTTATGATAAACTAGAAACGATTCAAATTATAACGTGTTTGGTCTCATTTTAATTAGAAATACCTCACCAATAAATTAATAGATTCTTCATTAACAAAGAACCAAAGATAGAAATACGTTCATCGCAACATTAACCTTGTCTCGCAATCTTTTTTTGGCGTCCAAACTTTAGGCTGTCGATTCGTGAATGAGCCATTCCACGTTAAAACTCACAGATAATTGCGGTTAAAGTCCCCAATTGTTCTTATATTTGTAACATTTATTGATGACCACGAAAAAATGAACTGCATAAAATTGTAGCTTCATACTGTAAATTAATGTAATTTCCTTACTTCGGTTGTCGATGATGATTTGCACCTTCGGTTGTAGTATGATGTGCATCTGTACGAGGACCCGGAAATAGGAGACTCTTGAGGTGATTTGAAACAAGTTTTTCCTTAGCAAAAATGTTATTCGAGGCTTTCTTAATGAGATATTAACGAAAAACCTCGACCAATCAGAGCGCGAGTCTGCCGGTCGAGTTCTCACACTCTGATTGGTCGGTGTTTTTCGTTAATATTTCGTTAACAAAGCCTCGGATAACATTTTTGCTAAGGAAAAACTTGTTTCAAATCACCGCACGAATCTCCCATTTCCGGGAGTATGCGGAAAAAATCTGATATTTTTCAAATCATCCCAGGAACCCTCGTTTCCGGTAGTCGAAGCTATTTTGGGACACCCTGTATATCGTTGTGTGGATATAATTCTCATATTTTATAAGGAACACGTGAAATCTTATTGTAACTTTTCTCAGAAATTTATTGGTATATGTGCAGAATGAACAGTTAAAAGTTTTGCTGAATTTTAATCGATCTATTACCTTTCCACCCACTTTCTTTCTTTCTTACCGTAATTATATTACTACTGGTAATAGTCATTTATTTTTTTTTTTCTAGATCGTTTTGTTAGGACTCTCGACAGTGGTGTCTGCGCAATTCAATAGATACTTGTACAATCCTGACTACTATGGGCGACGTTTCGCTATATTGCGACAATCCCAAGACTCTTCTCCGGATGGATCGTATTCCTACAGGTGAGATCGTCCTTCTACAGCGGACCGTACGTCGACGAAACAATAAGCGACGTCGAAGTATGTTTCCACAAACGCGATCTCGACACGCTCGAAGAATCCCATTTATTCTCGGTCTCTAAAAACGCATTAGCGTGCATATCCGTCTATCCTATTATAATCTTATTTATGAAATAATAATATAAAAACACTTCTTATAATGTCCTTCATACATTTAAGGAATGGTATTCAGGGAAATGCAAAGACGACTACCTTTAGTATTATTGTTTGACATCAATATTAGGTAGTATTGTCATATTTGTATAATAAACGTTTATAGGTGCGAGATCATGTACGTAGGACGAGCATAGACAAAGTATTACAGTGACTGATAATTACATAAAGTACTGGTAACAATAAAAGGGTATAATGTGTTTAATCTTATAAAACAGATACAAAAATTTTGACAGAATAAACGTCCCAGATACCACATGATGCCTAATGACGTCTTGAAGACGGCTTAAAGGCGCCTTAGACCTAAAATAGCCGTAAAATCGACGTCTTCAAGGCGACATGTACTATTTGGGGTATAGTGAGTTTGGATATAAAACAGGCTGTGATAACCAGTCCTTCGAGATGGTACATAAAAATTTAGGAGAACCCCATTCATGAAAACAATATCTATCAATTTCGTCTGTTTGATAAGATTTTAACAAGCTGACCGCCGCCACTGGCTACCACTGTCGCCGTCGTGTGTTTTGCTGAATGATTTCGATTCTCTATTGAAAACAAAATATATTTTGTAACTTTCCTTGACATCGTCATCATTATTAGGTGAATATTTCAACACATTTAAAAAATCCATCCATCCAAGATTTTAAAGAATCCATTTGTTTAATTTTATACACAAATTTGTATACATTTACATAATTTTAGTTGATATCAGAATATAAAATTGTTAAGTATATTGTTAAGATTGGAATGCACACTTACACTGACAATTAGTCTACTCGTTCGTACTCAGAAAGAAACACTAGTCCAAAGGAGTGTGAGTACGGAAACGAGGAAGATAGAAATGAAGACGTGAGAGGGGGCAAAAAAGAAGAGGAGGAGGTTACACAGGATATTCAGCTGTGAAAAGATATCTAATTAGCTTTGATGTTAATCATTTGTGTTAGACGATTGCGCAGTTAGCAATAACACATTACACAATAGAATAATTACAATCGACCTACCTATCCACCTACATACATACATACATACCTGTCGACTATACTTTGAGGTTCACGCCTAGAGGAGCCCCTCCTTTGACATTTGTCGTTCAGTAAATCGAACAAGCTCCACCTCATATCTTGGAGGAACATACCTGTCAAATCGTACCGTAGGTCGTCAATTTATGCATTATAAGAGAATTTTTATATTCTGAGCAATGTGATATCATGCACACATATAATATAATAAGACTTTATACCGAATGTGCTCATAGATCGAGTGAACCATAGTGATGTTATGAATATAAAATACTTTATAGTTGCATAATGGTTTATTGAATTTAAAACTGCAAACAATTTTAAATTTTAACTTCAGTAATAAAGAAATTCAGTATTTACTTAAATATATTGGCACAATAGTAGTTTAGAAGAACAGAAATTATGAAGATTTGTAGCGTATTTTTTGCATTTTCAGAATAATTATGGCTTGTATATACAAATTGTAACGTAAGCCAAATCCTATATAATGAAATGTTTAACGTGTTCATTTGTTTGTTAGAAAATTTTTCCAGAGACTTTTTTTCTACTTCCCGATTTATACAAAAATATATTTAATATATATAAATATATATTTTATACAAAAATTGAACTCCACTGAAAAATCTTCAGAAATTGATAATGAAATTCAACTTTTAATTAGATTATCACAAATCTATTCTATTGCACTAAAAAATATGAAATATTTTAAGTTACTAAATATTAATAAATACTTACAAGTTACTAACTTATAGCATAGCGAAACAAAAATTATGCCCACCCTGAAATTTCTGAAGAGACCTTCATCCACAGCAAAATGCTAAAAAACGTTTTAGAATAAAAGACAAGAATCTATTTATTACATAGAATTTGCAAAAGAGCAACAGAAAAGTTTATGTGAACTAATCGCGTAGGTAATCGAGTCGCGTAAGTGAATTCGAAGATCACCCTACGTATGTATACAGGATGTCCCAAAATAGCTTCGACCCCAGAAATGAGGGGTACCTGGGATGATTTGAAATAACTTTTTCCTTAGCAAAAATGTTATCCGAGGCTTTGTTAACGTGATATTAAAGAAAAACCCCGACCAATCAGAGCGCGAGTCTGTCGGCCGAGTTCCCGCGGTAGCGTTGGCTACCAATCGCAGCGTGTAGTTATTACTTTTATTTTGTTATTTACTATTATTACTGTATTATATCGTTAATTACTATTATTATTGTTATTATTATTATGGTCATCAATGTTATTATTATTGTGTATTTTTTCCTCTGTTTTAGTTATGACACAGAAAATGGTATATCTGTAGCAGAACAAGGTGTACCGAAGTTTGTCGGACCAAATCAAATAGAGTCCGTGAGGGGACAATTTAGTTATACTGCACCAGACGGTACACCAATTTTGGTAACCTATACAGCCGATGAAAATGGTTTTCAAGCCAACGGTGCACATTTACCAACGCCACCACCAATACCAGTAGCAATACAACGTGCTTTAGCCCATAATGCCGCTCATCCTGAAGAGGAAGAGCCATACAGGCGATACTAAAAGACTTTGGTACTTGTGTCTTGGTTTTAGGATGCTGTTTCTGAAGCAATGTATACACTAACAAATACAGCTTCAGAAGTAACTCGTGGGCATCTCCGGTATACAGTATAGCATAGGTAGATAATAAAATTTTAATATTTCTTTCATGCCAAGTCACTGTTGTTTATGGTTATGGTAAACTACAAAGTATATTAAAAATTCATATTTTAAATTACATTGAAATATATTAGAACTCGGACATATTCAAAAAAAATTGAATTATACCTACTAACATAGATTTTTCTACAGTGGACTCTAATTATTTTGCCACTCAACATATTGCCATGCGAGGTACTTCCCCTTCATACGTATTTTCGAGCACACATTCGTTCTTCCACCACGTTGCATACACCGGCGCACCAGAACGATCCAGCTTTTGCGCAGGCGCCGAGACCAAGGCTATGACAATAGAACTTAGCATAGAGGGGGCTCTGAACTCATTGCCATTTTACTCCCCTATAGCCCCGACCATGGCAATATAGTTAGAGTCCACTGTACCTATTGAACACGACCGGCTCTAGCTCGGTTTCTGATTTTTTAGTTAGACCGAAAAATGAATCGCGTGCGGCCTCCAGTTGTGAATATTATTGATTTAGTAGGTAGATGATTTATTCGTTACAACAGCACTGTACAACTCTACGCTTTTCGGGTACGAGAGTCCGATGTCGCCCGTGGGTACAGCCTGCGGCAAAATGACAAACGACCAGTGCTGTCACAGACCGGTGTTTTATATAAGGAAAAATTGTATTATAGTATCGGGGCCTCGCTGTACGTGGCAAATAATTCTTGGAGGTGCAGAGACTCACGCTCGTAAATACTTAATTACGCGGACACCCTGAACACTTGCACGAACGGGCAAAGAGTTGAGCAGCTCAGCATTGCCAAAACGTAAAGCAGAAGTAAAATTTCATCAACTATGTATTCATGGAAAAATTTGAACAGCCATGGAACATTGTATTCAGCTATTGATACTATGCATGTTAAACAGTCTAATTAAAGAGAATATTGGAAATTGATGCAAATTGTTCAATTACTCTTCTCTATGTTGTACTGGAAGTTATTTATTAAGCAATCGTTTGATCACATTGTGAAATCCAGCGACACAGACTAATGTTTCCTTTTAATTAGTTTTTCAATTCCCTTTAATTCCTTTTTTACAATTACGAAAAGTAAAGATAGCTTCCTTGTCTGAAGATAAATGTATGGAAATAAAGTAACGGAAGTGTATGAGAGAGGAACAACTTGAATAAAATATGAAAGTGTTTATTTATAACATAACATACAATATTATGCTTTTTATTATGATATGTAAAATATGAACGTATAAATATATTTTATAAATATACATTAAAATATCTATAGCGTTTGTGTATTATTTGTTTCTCACTAACGAATTCAAAGGCAACATAGGAATGAAGAAATCATAAACTTATGTTTACAGCTAATGGTGAGTAATACAATCGATAGGATAACGATTTAAACTACGTATACACTTAATTCTGCTTTTAAAAACGGCGAGTGGAGAGGTAAGGGAGAGGGAGAGATGGTGGGGGGAGAGGAAGAAGGAGAGTTTCGGTAGAAGACGAATTGGTGAACACAGGAAAATGTGAAGAAAGCAGAACAAAACGGGAAAGTTTTGAGGTTAAGACAAAGAGGAAAAGAAGAACAGAAGAAGGAGAGAACGACATCTGCAGCGGATAAAGAAGGATACGAAAAGAGAAGGTCTGTCGGTAAAATAGAGAGTAGAGGGAAACGGAGAAAGAGGTCAAAGAAAAATGTATGCAGTAGATGAAGGGAAGAATAAAGGAAGTGTAATGAATAGAGATAGGATTGTTAGGCAAAGGAGTACAATCGAGGGAACGATAGAATCATAAAGGAAATGCTAAAGGGGATGAGTGAAAAGATAAGAGAAGTGTGGAAGGGAGAAGAGAACAGGCAAAAGACATAAGAGAAGAAATAGAGGAGATAACGGAAGAACTTAAAAGAGGGAAGAAAAATAGGAAGCAGAAAAGGAAGAGATATGGAAAGGTATAGAAGCGATAGGGTAGAATTTGCAAAAGGTAAAGAAGGAATAAATGGAAGGGGACAAAATTAAAATCATGGTAGAAAGGCTTAAGAAATTTGAGAAGGAAAGGAAAGAAGGAGAAAATAAAGGAAGACATCGGTGAACAAAAGTTAGAGTTAAGCGGAAAGGTAAGACAGATAGAAAGTAGAATGGAAATGAAAGGAAGGGAGGAAAGAAGAGAAAATACAATAATAAAAGGTCTAAAGAAGGGTAAAACTGGCGTGGAAGAAAGAGTGAAGGAACTGATGAGGGAGATAAAGGCTAAGGTGGGAGTAAAAAGTGTGAGGTAGGAGAAAGGATGGAGAAGAGAGAATGGCAATAGTGAAACTGGGGAGTAGAGAGCAGAAAAGAATGGTTATGGAGAGAAAAATGTATTAAAAGGAAGATCTGAAATAATGGAAAAGGATTGGACATGTAAAGAGGGAGAAATGCACTGGATACTAGGGGAAATGGCAGAAGAAGGAAGAAGCAGAGGATGAGCTATGGGAAAATATAAAATATGGATAGAAGGATGATGTAGATGGATTATGGAGATGGGGAGAGAAAAAGGAGAAGCTAAAGAATGAGAAAGGAAGGGTGTGGAAGAGAAAAGAGAAAAATGGGGAGAAAGAAAGGATGGGTTGGAAGGTTGCGTTCTGGAACGTGGCGTGAATAGCGACCAAAGGTAAGGAATTCTGGCAAATGTGCAATTTATTAAAAAATATTGTATTAGAATTTTCAAAATGTACCATTTTCTCCTAAGATTTGAGCTCTGTTACGTACACTTTCGTCTGAATTAATACATACGTCATTACGAATGACAGAAACTTCCTCGCTCAATATCTCCAAGGCTCTGTTTTTTTCGATGTTAGAAGACGGTGTCTTAACCGAGGGTCCAAAAATTCATATTAACGGCACCGCGAACAAAACTGTTACCACACAATGTGGAAGAGCCAATAAAGCTAATAAATAGCTAATATACTTACATGTCAATTTAAAATAAAAAGTGGCAGCTCCGATGACCTTGACCTTGACATATATTGCCAAGTCGCTCCTTATTTCTTAAAAAGTTATTAACTAAGCCGAACCATCAAAGCCAAATTTTGTCTAATGCCTGTTATAACGTTATGGCTACAAGTTTGATGCAAGATTTGCTATAAACAACTTGCGCGCACATTGATAGCAACATAGGCAGCAAATTGGCAGCAACACATGTAGCAAATTGGCTTGTGCAAACCTTGTCCCGGTTTTGCCCTCAATTTGACATAGGTCATGTTGCAAGACTTTCTGTCAATTTGTTTTACCATTTTGTCAGTTGGCGTTGCCTGCAAAGCTCAAGTCAAATGCGGAAACAGATGGCTATGGTTTTTTAGACAACTTTTGCCATTTATTGCTGGCAATTTGCTCGAAACTTGTACACAACTGGTTATCAGGACAGAGCTCAATGTAATAGAGCATCTATACGAAATGTTAGATTCTAAATTTAGAGAAATAAATATAAATGAATCCCATACTTTCGTAGTGTATACTCACTTTTGACTCTCACTGTATATATCCATAGTGTCTATTACAATGTTACAAATGTTATATACCCCAATTTGTGATTTTATGAGTAAGCAACCGACTATGCAATCGCGACATAATAATGTCGGAATCCAAGACCGATCCCGCTTGACTTCTTCCGACCCGACCCGAAGAGTTGGGCTGTCCGAAAGTGACGGGCCGTCAGAGAGTATAGAGTTGCCTGAAAACATCAGGCTGTCCGAAAGCATCAGGCTACCCGAAAAGGGCAAGCCTGCTCGACTTATTCCGACCCGACCCGATCGCTCGGGTATCCAACATACAGGGTGATTCATATAACGCTGTCACCTAATTTATTTGTAAACTGTTCGTTGTACGAAAAAATGTTTCAAACAAAACCTGTAAGGTATCATGAGAGGCACGCAACGTAATATTGTAATTAGTTTTTTGCTGTTCCCAGATAGCACATGACGCCTAATGACACCTTAAAGACGGCTTAAACGCGCCTTAGATTTAAAATAGCCGTAGAAATGGGCGTCTTTAAGGCGTCTTATGCTATCTGGGTTTTGAAACGAGAACTTGAGTTTTTGTATTGTAGTGTGCCAAATTTGAGCTTGCAATTGGAAAGAGTATTGAACGGTGAATAAAAAATTGTTAGCGTAAATAATTACCGAGATATTCTTTAAATGATTTTAATGTAAGTAATGCCCAAAATGTTGGTCGATACAATTAATGAATCAATACAAGTGCGCAGTTGTTTAATCAGTGCAAATGACACATGTTCAAGTGTTTCTTGAGGTATAGCATTACATGCTCTAATGATACGATTTTTTATATTTTCGGGTGCCATTGGTAGCGCGCGGTTAACTTTGGTTTTTAGATGTCCCCGAAAGAAAGTAGTCAAGTGACATAAAAAGTTCGGAAACTGGTTGTAAGTGTGGATTTTACATTCACGAAAGTTTATCATAGTTCACTGAAGAATATTTCAATAATTATTAGTTTTTGGACCTATATAGTGAACATTTTCTTACTCAGCGCTCAACACACTTTCCAATTGCATGATCAAATTTCTCACATTACGATAAAAAACTAAAGGTAACCTTCATATCTCGATAAGAAAAAAGGAAACTAGCAAAAAAGTAATTATTACATTGTGTGCCCTTTTTGATACCATGCAACCTTAGTTTGAAACATTTTTGCATACAATAAGCAGTTTACAAGCAATTTATGTAGAAGCGTTAAGCTGTGTCTACACTACATAGCATAACAAATTATGTAGCAAACTTATAAAACTTGTTAGAATAACAGAAAGAAAAATGTTATATAACATTTTTTGTATTATAGCAAGTTACATGTTATCCATTAAGTGTGACGCCATTATTAACAATGAGATGCGAAATGTTATACAAACTTGTTACGGACGTGTCCAAAAGGTATAATTTTGCAACAAGTTATAAAAACATGTTGTATAGAAAAGCTGTATAACAATTTGTTATATAACACTCTTTTGTTATACAGCAATTGTTACATATGTTGATACCATCATGATAACTATCACTGATAAGAATCATAGACAGATATCTGTCTCATACATACATAATATTTTAAATGGATTAGTAAATTTATTGTTAAGATAGGAAAATCAAATGGGAGATGGAAAATATAATTTCAAGACGGAAAAAGTTGTTCAGGTTCAAATCAGCAGTTGGAGGATAATATATTCAAGTTTTTGCACCATCATTTTTTCACTTAGTAGAGGTACACAATTTTAAGAACATATAATATAGATCAAAACCAATTGTAACCTACCAAAAGGAAATACCCCTTGAATGAAAGAATTCCAGGTAATAGACTTTTCTATAAAATTCCTGTTATGGAAAGTAAAAACTGTAATGTAATTTACTAAGTTTGAAAAGTGGTTAACACGCAAAATGTTTGAAGAAAGCTTGCCCAACACGATTCTAGATCTCGTTATCTGGCAAGCAGGTTGCAAACGTTACTTGGATCTAGTTTGACCTTTCTCGTTTTATTAACCACGTCAGCTTATGTATGCCCCATCATCTCAGCAACGCTTCGACTCTCATAAAGAAACGGATAGAGCGCATACCTTCGGGATCCTCCCAGATGAGCAACGTACCTAGAAATTATGCATATTGATCGGCTACATACAGTTTTGAATCCGGTTGAGCGATACCTTCCGAATTGTAGCCGTCTCGTACGTAAAGATTCAGCTTAGAAAAGTCAAACGATAATTTAAAATTTCCTGACATACATAAAAGCAAGAAAATCAGTTCATAACATTGACTGAAGAATTGGGAAAGGTCGATTTAGTTAATTAAATCTAAATTGAATTAGACGTTTTCTCTTAATAACGTAAATATACCTACATGTATAAACGGATATAAGTCCATATTTCATTAGATTTTACGTCAATCTAACACGTACTTAAATATTTTGCGAAAATACTTTCTGAGAGATTTCTTTTGTTTAATTTTTAACCAATATAAAAGAAAGACATAAAACTGATAGTGATTTTAACATCACGTGCCTACACATACACGTATTAAATAAAAAATTTCATTTTAAACAAACTGTTCACTTAATAAAAATGTCTATACGTATAAATGAGATAAGATATTTGGAATTAAAAGAAATTACCTCTTATAAAGTTTTATAAATACAATAAAGCTGAAAACCTCTCAAAAGAAAACAAATTCATCCCTACTATATGCTAGAAAATATTATTTTCAAAATTATTATGGCATAGAAATACCACTTAAGTAAAATATTCCATCCATAAATTAAAAGTATAATAAAAAATACAAATAAAATGAGGATATGGATAAGAGGAAGTATTTTTTTTATTATTCAGTATTTTTATTGATATTACGTAAACTATTAGGGGACTATTAATAGTAACTCGCTGTGTTAGATTCTAATGAAGGCCTTAAATAATGTACTACTGTGAAATTATGTATGTATATGCCAGAGTATGTTTTCGAACTATTCATCTAATTACTATCAAGCAAACTTTTATTTTAATTACAACAAAGTTAGTGTACGTTCTTGAATATAATTTGTCTAGATCTAGCAAGTAACAAAATCAAAGAACACATGTCATAATAATAATATCATTATACTACTAAAATGTACAGAAATATTTAAATCCATCATTTATTTAACTCGAATTATTTATTTAGAGTAAGACAGCAGAAATATGACAAGAACGCTTTTTAAAACATTTAGACACATTCATCTCAATTATGTATACATATTGGTACAAGCACATTGAAAAAATGTTTATAATACAAATTATGTAATATTACAATTTTTTTGTACATGTCCAGTACATGAAATAAGTCATCATTATTTTTATGATATTCTGTGTATTGTTTAAAATCACAATAAGTCAAACATGGCACTACTTCTGTAAATAAAATTAAACAAGATTCATCATCTCTACTATAATATACTCATAGTTTTCCATTACATGAGATTCTTTTCGCCATATTCCTGTCACCAAGCTCATGCATCACTTTATCACCAATATTCTCTTCAGGGGTAATGTTTATACATCACTATAGAAATTTTTAAAGATTTAACAGAAAATATACCCACATTCTAGTAGGTCTTCACTAAAGAACAAGTTTAGTCTTTTACAGCATCAAACGACCTTTTACTATTACCTGTTGAACTTGTTTCAGCAACTACTATTTAAAAGATAATTACAAAAATATACTATACCACCTAAATTTACTGGACACGAAACAATTTGTGTTAACAGGACTCTCTCACATTAAGTATTTATACAAGCGAGCAGCGTACAAAAAAGTAGCTTAAACGTGTCTTATTGTTAGACAGTTAATTATTTCGTAGATCTTTGTCATAATAATAAATAAATTTGAACGCGTAATTGGGTCAATGTGTTTTAAATGAACATACATAATGAAAATACAAAATTTTTAGCGTTTCTAAGATTCTATATTTGTAATGTAATTACAATATTAATATAATTACATTGTTCCGTCGATAATTGTATACTTTATAATAAAATTGTATACACTACTATATTTGTACCAATGTTGTTAATATTCGAATCGTATTAAGGATATATTCTCTAGTAATATTTTTAAAGATTAATCTTTACAAATAGTGATTATCCTTGAAGATGTTGCTTATAGCAGAGCTATAGTTACACTATAATATATTCTATCGCGATCTATACTTTTCAGACATGATGATGCAAGTAACCACTTCTCTGCTAAAAAAGGTAACAAATAACCATCACAGTTTGCATAAAAGATTTATTCATAATGCAGGTATCTTAGAGAAACGATAAAACTTAAATAAATAAAGAACCTTACGATCATATTGTATTTTTATACATTTATGTTATAAAGAAGCAATATGCAAGCTGTAATAATAAAAATGTGACCAATCGTCCAAATTTTTATGTATGCTTATGTAAATAAATTTGGTAGCTAAGCAAATTAACTGCTACCAATTGGCACTGATCGGTAAATGATTCTCGTATTAGAACATTAACACTAGAACCTAAATCCTCGCGAGCAGGGTTGAGGTGGGGCACAGATGTGAGGGCGACTAGAAATTGTAAAGAGAGTGGTTAAATGCATGAATAGTCAGAATGGAAAGGGAAGATCTTCTTGCTCGTCTTCATATAAATGCCGGCAGTACTTGCACATGGTATTACAGGTTTGCCCTTGTTCAAAGCAACATCGTAAAACTGGAACGGACATCATGCAATATTTAGTGAGTGTTTCCAATCGATGCTTATCAATGTTCGATTGATACTTCTAATGTACTATGTTTCATTACTTCGACTAATGAATACTTATATCTTTTGAATAATGCTTCATCAATGGTGCAATCTAGTTCATATCACTCCACTTTTAATTTTTTTCCATGGTGCAATAGAAAGTTTGTTCTTTTATTAAGAAATTTTTTAAAGTTTTCTTTTTTCAAGATTTTTTTTTTATTAGTTTGTAACAGTTTTTATAAAAACAATATACATGTTATTTGGGTGTATTTTATGTACAATCAATTATTGTAAAAATGTTTCCTACAGCAAAAGAGAGTCCAAGGAAATCAACGGGATCAAACATTAAATATTTATCTACTCAATTCAGAAAAAAAATACAACACAATAAAACCAGTTGCGTAATTTTTTAAACTTAAACTTTATATTAGAAAACATTGTGTGATTGCAGTTTTTTCTGTTTGCTTTATTCTGCTGCGCTGTAGGACAGTATGGATCGTACCGTGGTTTTCCAAATCAAAATGCATATAGAACAACACCTAGACCAAATTATCAGCAACCAATACAACCTCAGTATACGCCACAATATAAGTAGGTATTTTTATGTAAAATATACGACACTATATGTATTAATACTAGATTTCTAGAATGTCTTACAATAATTAGATAATATTTTTCTTTAATATGCAAGTAAACAATGTTCATAAAAGGAGTGGTTTTATAAGATTGTAATACCTTAAGCCGAGATCATGTGATTTGTTATACAATGATGGTATTATGTATCTTATATTTGTTTTTGAATATAAGTAAATAATTGTGAAAATGTCGAATAAAGAAGTTTCATTTTGTTACAGTTCACCTGGAAGGTTCATAGCTATTCGTAGCCAACAAAAGGACACCTTTCCAGATGGATCTTATACTTTTAGCTACGATACCGATAATGGAATTTCAGTTGCTGAAAGCGGACGCCCTCAAGCTACTTCGCAGGGTCAAAGCGAGGTAATAATAGTCACGTGTTAAAACTTACACACACGCTTTTTAGTTACATACTTTTTCGTATTGCATACTTATAATTACACTGCGGATTTTTATGCAAAATAAAATTTTATAAAATAATTCTTCAAGACAAGATCAAAAGTAGAAATTTCTATCTTCTCTTGAGTATGTTATTGAGTTAAGAATAAAATAAAAAAGTCGATGAAAGTTTTGTTTTTTATTGTATTTCACAGAACTCTAGAGTCTATAAATGCATAAAATCCGCAATCTATTTATAGTAATAGGTAATTGATTTATTCCACCTATTCAAACTGTAGAGCATTTTCATAACAAACTAAACAGACTGAAGGAATGGAAGTGTACGAAATTGTATTTCATAGTTCAATTATCTATGTAACATGTTTAAAAAATTATAACGCGTTACCCTCATGAAAAGGAACTTCCTCTTAAGCCAGGCTCACACTACCCAAATAGCACATGACGCCTTAAAGACGTCCATTTTACGGCTATTTTAGGTCTAAGGCGTCTTTAAGCCGCCTTGAAGGCGTCATTAGACGTCGTGTGCTATCTGGGTAGCGGTCAATGGTACGGTCAAATCATAAGAAGTTTGTAATTAGATTATACCTCTCTCATTTGTTTACGTGCGAGGGATAAAGGCTACTGTCTTATTCGACGTGATTTGACCTACCGTGACCACTAGTGTAAATCTGGCTTGATTTCGTTGTTATTTAAAGAAGTAGACCACTTCATACAGAGGAATACACGAAATCGCAATAAAACCTGTCCATTTTTCCAAGATACACAAACACCAACATAAACCAGAATAAAATCGCCCATTTTGTAAAATAGGTACATTACACACACATGCTTTCAACGTACCAAATTTGTTTAATTCAATATGTATAATTTTCCAGGTTGTACAAGGTAGATTTTCATATTCTGCGCCAGATGGAACCCCTATCACTGTGGAATATACGGCTGATGAAAACGGCTTTCACCCTCAAGGCGCACATCTCCCAACACCACCGCCAATTCCAGAAGCTATCAGACGAGCTCTTGCTGCCAATCCGCCTGGACTCGATGATTCCGATTATAGGCAGCCTTATAACTCAAATCCTTATCGAAGATATTAGGCAAAATTTACCGATCAAATGATTGCAAAATGTTCTTGAGGCTTGAATTGAATGTTATTATCTTGTAACCGGACGCAACGTTTGTACATATTCCAGAAAATAAAGAAGTATCAATTTCCACGTGTGACAGTTGTTATATGATACACGAAGAAATACGCCTACTTGTTTAAACATTCTACGTCTGTCATTTTACATTCTTTTAATAGCGTTTTCTTTGTACCTTACACACTTCCCAGATAGAACACGACGCCTTGAAGACGGCTTAAAGACGCCTTAGACGTAAAATAGCCGTAAAATAGGCGTCATTAAGGCGTCATGTGCTATCTGACAATTCTTACATAGCTTTTTTTTTATAAATTTTAATTAAACCGTTTAAGAAACCCTAGCAATGACCTATTCATCTATAATAAGTATAAAAACTAGAGTTTATTTCATCTGACATTAAAAGATTTCCCAAACATTTGTAAAAGTGTACACAATCTTCTGCATACTGTAAAGATACACCTTAATGATTCGTGACTAATTTCTAAGATTTACTCGTGTCTTCCACCTTCAGTGTCCATTAATAATTTAGTTTAAAAGCCAGTACAGTGATTCCTCGATGAATGCGACACGAGCAACGGCGTTATTCCTACCACTGGGGTAGTCCCCCTGTGGGACCAAGCAAAACAGAGCAAACAGAAGCTAAGCAGGGGCTTCACTTCGTGTAAAAAACAAATTTATGAGGGGCTGAAAACCTTTCCGCCTTACCACGAATGCTTCGAAGTGGACTGGAGTACGTCGCACTCATCGAGACATTACTGTAACTAACTGATCACAAGTTCCCGTCCGATGATGGTTAGAGAAATTATTCGAGTAGGTACATATATAATTCATCTAACTTTAAGTGTCACATAAACTATATGTTGCACCAAAAAAACAATTTTTCAAGCAGACTACCTGGTACCTTTTAATGGGATTCGAAAAAGCATCGAGCGCTTACTGAAAACGTATTAACAATAAGATCCACAGTTGACACTTGTTACGATCCCAGATAGCACACAGACAGCTTAAAACGGCTTAAAGGCTTCCTGTGTTATCTAGGATATCTACAATAAAAATCATAAGAATCGGTGTGGTTTAATTTTACTTTCAATCGATTTACCATTGTCTTTCATAGTACTTTATATGATAAATATCGCAATGAATATCAATATTAAAACTCTCATCAATTGATGATTGACTTTTATTCTCTTTTGATTTTCGACAAACGATGTAGAATATTTTATTTAAAAAACTTGCTGTGTAAAACACATAGAGACAAATAAACCAATAGTTTACGAGTATGTAAACTTCGTTTCAATTATCACATACCTGCGAAACTAATTCTGAACAATTTCTGTTTATTAACACGTTGACTTGATTTTTGTATGTTTCAGCCACAACGCCGACATGAAACCTTCGTTATACAGAGTGTACACGAAAAGAATGTTATAAAAAACTATTGAATTTAGTCATGTCATCATACATCTAATATTTAGTTCGTGGATATAATAAGAGTATCAATATTAATAGTATCGAAAAGTATACAACAGACTCCTCTTGATTATCGTCTGGCTTGATCTACACGATTATTGTCCAGGCGTTATCCCCATCGCTGGGAGGGAGGGAGGCCGTGGAACCTGTCAAGCGCATACTTTGTTGCCGAGGCTCAGGCTTCGGACAAAAAACGAATTTACGAGAGTCTGAAGCATTTCTTCCTATAAGATTATTGTCCCGGCGCGGACCCGAATTCGGGACTATAATCGAGAGTAGTCTGTACCTAGAGTGTTGATCATCGGTAACCCCAGCGGCATTCACCGTGTTAAAATGTATTCATTAAAGAACTATGAGAAAGTATGGAATAAATATTATCAATGAATAAATAATGTGAATACAATACATCTGTTTCCCTTCTATTATTCATATGATTCTTTTAAAAATCATAATACCCAAATATGTAATTTGATTCTTTTTTTTTAAGTAAAAGGGCAATGTAACAAGGACTGTTAATAGCATATGATTATAAAAATAGAAAAGGGCCATGCAAAGACACATATACGGTTTGTATATAGTATGAATGGTATCGAGTATCGTAACTGGCAAATACCTACCTAAATATTACGCAAAAATATGCGGGTTGAACTTTGGATGCACCACGCCTCTGATTGCACGAAAGTATTACGATAAAAGAGTGAGCTTGGGATGAATACAAGTGAAAGTGTTCTGTTCTATCGGATCTTTCATTATCCTAGATTTTTCTGAAGTTCATCTCGGTCAAGGACTGACTGACATGAAGAGTAAAATTTAGGCTGTCTCTACCTATACTTCCTTTGGAAATTTTATTCTATCTGTACGAGTAACTATGGCATAAAATGTACACTATCGGCACGAACATAACGTCACTTTGCCAATCTTAAAATTTCTTATTTTTTTTTGTTTCATTCTTATCATCAGATACTATAATGTTTTTATCCATAAAGTAATTTAACAGTACTAGTTATATTTTCAAATCATTGTCTTAATATTCGCTTTGGTGTTCTTTTATTTTGTTGCATTTTTTTATGAAAATTGGGTATCGATTTGTGTCGAAAGGAATTTGTATTCAACAATATTTTAGGTAAACAGCAATCACATAAAGATATAGTTCGTTCTTGTATTAACCCTCGACGTACGAACGTACATCTTTTCAAACATACTTTCGAACGCGATCATTAAAAAACACCTGCTTTTTTATCTAACAATGGAAATAAATTCAAATATCACATCCGAGTTGTTTTGAATTTCGTTGAATACTATTTTCGTTTACGGAAGTCACGAGTTTTTAATTATATATAATTAAAAATAGTCTGTGAACATCTTTAGCGATATATTTTATCAGTTTATTACGAACGAGAACTAAAGATACTTTTCTCTCCATAAAAAAAATGGTATCACCTATTGATGGTCTGTTATTTGTGAAGATTGTAAGGGCAATAAAGACTACGGAAATGTTCAGAATATGTATATTAAGGTATCTAATATGTACAGAGAATGAGCATAAACAGTTAGGTCACAGGCAGACAAATCCAAGGTCAGTTTAAAAGTGGTGGGTTTCTGGTTGCGGTGGGTGAGCTCTGATATATTCAAGAGCTCTTTGGATCAGAGGGGAAACCGCCGGAATATGTTCACCCTGTGGTTGAAATCCATTGTGATCGGCAACGTATGATACGGCAATCGGAGTACCATCGGGAGCTGTGTACTGATACTGTCCTTGACTGACGACAACAGGTGGATTGCTTGGGTCTACGACTACCGGAGTTCCATTTTCAGCCTGATAAATGCCATTTTCTGTTTGGTAAGAGTAAGAGTAGGATCCATCGGACGATAAGTCGTGAGATTGTTTGATGATAGCCGGAGGCGTTTGAATAAGCACCTCCCCTGCAACAACAGCCGTCAGAACGAAGGAAAGGATCTGAAAACCAAATCTCCGTTATCAGTGCTGAATTTTCAATCGTCGCCTAGAGAAAAATAATAAAATAACGTAATTTCTGTAAATCACTTAGAATACATATTTCTAATATTAATATTTAAACGTATTGATAGCCATGGTATAATAAAGTTAAGTAATACCCAACACCACAATTCGATTGCGCACAAGAAAACACACCCATTTTCACGAGATAACTGGTAGGGGACTTCCGAAACGAATTTATATATAAATACAATCGAGTCGAAGGAAAAATTAATACGATTTGTAAAGGAATTTTAATGATTAACAAAGAACTTCATTTTTTATTTGATTTCTACGGTCCTATATCCACTAAATGTAGATTGAAATTGTTAGAAACTCTTCATTAATCGCCACTCAAAATTATGGACGAACTGTTTCGCGTAATGGAATAGGTAGTAAAAGATATACTAAGTTATTTCTTTCTTCTAATCAACTGTAACAACGCTCTCAATAAACTTTCAAATTCTGGAACATTTAAACGAAGCATTACAATTTTATGTGTATCTCAAATAAAAATATCTTGCTTAGATTGTATTGCATAATATGATATGTTATATCTAATCGTCGTATCAATTTGAAGATGTTTAAACATGTGTGTGTTAAAAAGTTAAAATGTTTGAACTGACACAAAAATTCAGTATAGTATGTATGTGATAGTAGTTATGATTAGATTGCGGATTTTCATGCAAAATGCCATTTTCTGAAGTAATTTGCAAAGAAAAGAGTAAATGTAGAAATGTTGTTTTTTTTTTAAATATCTTATTCTGTTCAGAATAAAATAGAAAACTCGTTGCAGTTCATCAAAGTTTTGTTTATTATTGCATTTCACATAGGCCTATAGGCTATAAATGCATAAAATCCGCAGTCTAGTTATGATACACCTCATTAGAGACATTTAAAATGATATTTGGTTAATAGGTGAATTGTCTCTTAAGTATTAGTTCAATGAAGAACACGGAATTCTTAGTTAACTATTTGATTAAAAAAGGCACTTACGATGAATTTCATTTTAAATAGTAAGCTGTTACTATCGATCAGTTCAATGAAGGAAGCTGTGATTTCGAATACGATTCATATGAGACACGAAGCTCTTTTATATAAAACTCCAGACTCAACTTTCCCCAAATACCAAGTTATGCACAAAAAGACGAAACTACAATTTAACGGGAGGAAGAGAAAGAAAGATAGAGTTAAGCTGTCGAGAATAGTCAAAACGAACCTTCTGCTAAATTTATTCGCTACTTTGACATTTCCACGTTACCTAAATCTCATGAATTACTTGCATAACCATGACCAATCTACGAATATGACGAAGATGTTAATGAAGAATATTTATTCTTATATAGGTTATTTGCATATTAATTTTCGGCTTTAATATTATCCACTATGTACTATGTTGCAAAACTAGATTTTCTTAACGTAGAAACTACTACAAATTCTGAATTTTTAACAAATCTATCCTAAATCTATTAATATACTTAGGTGCAAT